TGCGCGGGATCTCTGTAGTACTCGATATCCTTACGATTCGTGGGATCCGGTAACCGGTATTGGAACCCTTCGCCCTTTGCCCTGGGCTTATCGAATCCCATACCAATACTCAACTCCTTCGTCTTCGCCTCAGCACCGTCCCCCTCAGCTTCAGCGTGAATCTGGGCATTCGCCCACGCCAGCGAGACGTACGGATCCGTCCTGCCGTTGAGGATCCGCTTGATGGCATGTCGCGTGTAGTAGCGTGTCACTATCGTTCCGCCGGCAGCTTCAACGGCGGCAATGGCGGAGGCGGAGGCGCGGGAGACGATGATGTTGATGGGTTGTTTGAGGGCGGTGGAGCCTCCGCGGCCGAGCAGCTTGACGCCGTCTTTGATGCCGTGGATGCAGCGGGTTTTCACGAGTTCTCTGATGGTGATGGGCTGCGAGGGATCGATGCGGCCTTGGTTGATCCAGTCCTGGATGCGGTCAAGATTGACCTTGGAGATGTCCGCGGTAAAGCTGGTTTCAATCGGGTTAGCAACGGGTCCGGATCGCCTATTGAAAGGGCAAGGGGGGGAGGAGAGTGGGGGAGGAGTTTACATATTGTCAAATCCTCTCTCTCCGTGGACGACGATATCCTTGGTCTGTCCACCGTTGAAGCCCGCGGGTACTTTGCCATGCTGCTTTTGACCCTTGTGACCTCGACCAGAGGTCTTACCCTTGCCGGAAGCGGGACCGCGACCTCGTCTAATGCGCTTATTGTATGCGTTTGGAACATCGGACAGTGTCGACAGGATCGATGCGTAGCGGTTCTGGCTCGACTGCTGGCTTAACGACTGGCATGGGAGAAGAGAAGGGAGGCTGCGGAGGAGAGGTGATGGGGCCGAGGAGAGGAGCTGTGGCTGCGAGGATAGGGCCCCTAGTGATGGAGATAGGTGTGACGGCAGCCGCCAGGGCAACCGCGGAGGCATTGTGTCTATATCTTGTTATCCGGAGCAAGGAGCGTGCTGTGTCTGCATTCACTCGCCGCAAGTTCGACTGCTTTTTCGTCGTTTCGGCGGTGATTTTCTGGATCACGTGATGTTCTCGGGAAATTAATATTACGTGCCGACCACGTTGACTATGATGGAGACCCTGCTAACATTAGTTACCTTCCTCTCACCTGCTTAGTCAACAACGCAATGTAAACGCGCCTCTTCTCTCTTTTTCCCATTGTCCTTCGACGAAGCAAACAATGGCTCCACACCGCCACCAGGCCTCCCTAGAGGGCATCCTCAACGTCTCAGGACCTGAGTTCTTACCAGTGCAGAAGCGCACGCAGGCAAAACAAAGATTCTACAGTATCATCAACTATTGTAGAACAGAGAAATCGCCTGATGCTGCATACAGCCGCCCACTCCTTGTGCAGTACACTTACGAGTATTCGTGCTCAGAATTATCGCAAGACACATTCTTACGCGCGTTTTTTGAGTCGATAGACCTAGATGTTGCTGGAGGAGACATTGACTTTGATGATAACGGTGATGAGATAAATGAGAAGCTGACCAGTTTTGCAGACTTCCTGCTGGACAACTTTTTTATACCGCGTTTGTTGCCCTGTCTACTACTACATCCATTGTGTGACATTTGCTAAACTTCTTTCTTCTTGCTTCATATAGTAAAAGCCTCTAGCCAGCGCACCACGCAACCATCACCCGCTCATCTTTCAGCAGTTCAACGGGTCCAGCTCATGAGTCTGTCGGGACGCCAGAACGATTATCAGTTCTCCGAGGCGCTTGCCTTATTCGTGACCGTCATCGCTGCGTGATATCTCGTGCGTTTGATCGGAAAGAGGCAATAATTCGACTGATACAGCAGGGTAGTAATGCTCAGGACGATGAAGGACATCAACTTCAAGGCCAGCCATTAAAGTTTCTCGAAGTGGCGCATATTCTGCCACATTCTCTAACACAGACAGACTCGGACAATACTTTAGTAAGGCATCTGCTGAAACGGATTTCTTTTCTTGACTTCTTCTTTTCTTTTTTTTTTTTTTTCTTTCCAATCATTCAGGACTAACTGGTGCATAGAGTGAGTCCAAAAAGGCCGCAGTTATGATCCTCAATATGTTCGACTGCGATGTATCTCTTCTCATTGATGGGACAAATATCGACCGAGCCTTCAACGCCATGACCCTGGCCCGTGACCTTCATACCATCTTTGGCAACTTCCAAATTTACTTCGAGCCTGTTCCTAACCAGGAACACACCTACCAAATCGATACTTTTCTTCCTGCTGCTGCCTTACCAGAATTCCGATTTCCTATCACCCGTACCTTACACCTCACTGATGATCGGTCCATCGATCCCCCACTAGCCCGACTCCTTGCTCTACACAGAGCAATTGCGTATATCCTTCATTTGTCAGGCGCAGGAGAGTACATTGACAAGATCCTTCGGGACATGGAGGAGCTCGGGGCGCGAGAGGGCGGGTCCACGGAACTGGGTCGACTCATCACGTTGAGATTGGGAGGATGGCTTGATAAGGCAGTGAGTACTTAGAGTGGGCGAGCGCTTTACTGATTCGCGTCTGCTTTTTCAAAACTATTGAAATACAGGGGACGATCCAGGTTCTATTCAATGTCGTGCTTATGATTGTTATGATCTATGCCAATAACGCCGTATTATACCCAGGAATCGAATCATTTGCTTTTAACAAGTTAAGAGGGCCGGGATATGACATAATGACGGTGCATGACAAGTTACACATTCCATTCAACAAACAAATCGTCAACCGTAGGTAGGCACAATAAGTTGGAGAACAAGGAGCTTCCAAAGGATTGTGGTGTTTTACAACAATGTAGCACATGGGGAAAGATTGGGCACGATGCTTTCAATAACTGAGAAACAGATTCTTCTCAAGGCCTCATTATCGAGTGGCAATACCGCGCCTAATATCAAGCATCCAGCAACCCACGCCTCGTCGAAGAATGTCAAAATAAAACCAATGATTGAGATTACTTCGTTGCGCTGTCAAGGAAGATGGAAAGTTTTATGCGACTTGGCATGTCACGACAACTTGGCATGTCACGACAACTTGGCATGTCACGACAAACCCGGCTTTACAAGTGTGCTGAGTCGGCTCAACGGGTTGACAGGAGAAATCATGTGTAGATGATTCCATTCTGTTGTCTGAATCTTGAGTTGAGTGAGAGGGCTTGCTCATTTTCAGACGTTAAGGGTGAGAACTTACCATCCAACTGTGAACAATGTAAATCAATGGAGATAGAGAATGCTTGTGAAGACAGGATAAGAAAGGGAAAGTCCCGGTATTAATACTAAAATATGAGTTGAATAAAGGACTTAGCCACTACAGCCATTCTTTGAGTGCCTCCATTCCGCATACTTAGCAACCCTGGAACATTCTTGAGCATGGGCCGGTAGCCTGCCGTACTAGCTAGATCACATTGGCAAATCTGTGCATGTGAAGATCAATTGTATCTTCCCAGCAGCAACGGTGGCAAAAAGGGCATTGAGCTCTGTGCACATCGTGAGCCAACTGATGCCTTGTAAACTTAGGGAAGAAAGCCAGGTATGTAAGTGTGAATGGCAAAGGTTAAAATTTGGCATTGTTCCTATCAGTGATGCTGGGGCCGAAGCAGGTGCAGCAGTCCCTACTCATATTTGCTAAACCACAGTTAGATACAAAAACACAAAAAGCACGTCATGGAGGCTTCAGACCACCATATACACCACTTAGTTTGCGGGCAAAAGCATCCCTACAAATTCCCCCCCCCCCCCCCCCCCCGGGCCGGAATAGTTTCCTGCTAGTCCTGATTGGGGAAATATTGGTCCTTTGAGCAACAGTGTTCAACACATGATGGAAGCTTGATTTGCTGTTGCTCACCGCCCTTATCTTCTACGAATTATTGCCCCTCTTGAAACCCCCACCTTCAACTCCGCCATCAGGAGCTTGAGATTCCTCGAAACCGTGTTTATCAATCCGCATCACACGAGCAGAGAATGGCCTTGGAACCAACAAGTCCCTGTTCATTCTAGACCAATTTCCACGGATATCGGCAGAGTGGAACTTTTAAGGCGGTGTTGCCTATATAAACTCCGTGAGAAGCGAGTTCTGCAAGGCCGGGGAGCAAGGGTCTAAAGGGGCAATTTATCCGTCATGGTATGACAGGCGCATAACCCCATGGCGTTTGAACGCCCTTTTCTCTCAATCAAGGTCTCAGTGCTTTCTTTGAATCTATTGCTTCTGGATTGAATCGCCTGCAGGGACGCTGGAGACGCTTCCTCTGCGGCATTAGAAAACGTTTCCTCGATCCCGCAGGGCCGACAGTATGGAGGCTGTTCACGCAACTAAAGGCGTCAAACCCAAATTTTCTATTATATCCTAAGACCTGTCCACGCCTAGAAGCATCAATAGTGTGTTTCAGTTTTCACCGGAGGATAGTTATAACGGAAAGCCGTTTCCTGGCACGGAATACTTATTGTTGTTTGATCTTTTTACCTATTTAATGCGTCTCCGACTGGACCCTGCATCTCCGCTACCCTAAATACAGGCTTCTCTCCTCCCCTGTGCACGGCAGAATCTCAACGGGAAATAGCCCAGTTGGCCTTCCGAGGACTAGGTTCCCCGCATAGTAGCCCCGAAAGAGTCCTAGGGCGCTTACAGACATGATCAAGCTTAACCTATTCATGCTCAGGCATCTCCACTCGCCGATCTAACAGGACTCTTGTTTGTGGCTCCCGTCCATGAACGGCGAGGTATCCATCGACGCAAGTTTCAAATAAACAACCAAAGCTCTCACAAACACAGGATTATAGAGTAGGGTGGCTGCATGTCCCGGAGAATGATATGTCCGTCGCATGGCAAACGCAAACTTGAAGTGAGGACTCTTGATAAGGGATATAAGCCGTCAACCCTCCCATCTCACACTCCAATATGAGATATTCAAATTCCCAAATCCAAGGAGGAATCAAAGCTGTGCCAATCTTGCTGTCCTTCGTATTCAACATCAAGACAAGATGAAATTTCTCAACGCCTTGCCTCTGCTACTTTCATCCATATCTCCTGCAGCTATTGCCGTCCCGCTTGCCGATAATTTCTCAAAGTCATGCGATATCCTCGGCGTTCAGCAGAACACCCTCACTGCGCTTTGTCAAGCGCCTAGGGGTGAGATACGAACATCCCTCGACTTGAACCATTGCTTTGCAAACTCTGATGGACAAATCGTTGCTCGGAATGAGTATGATAGTCACTTTTCCTCCTGCAGTTTACTCGGAGGTATGGGTGACTCTTGAGAGAGACTAATCATCGCGATCACTGTTAAATATAGGGGTTACTTCCACAACAGCTGCAACTATTGCGGTGGAACTGGAGAGGGAATTCTTCGGTGCTTTTGCAACAAAAAGGGCAGCGGGCAGGAGGATACGAAAATAGACATGAGTAAATTAAAATCTCATCTTTCTTGGAGCATCCTCTCCCCTTGAATGATGTGGCTGATAGTGTATAGACGCTGTTGTGAAGAACATTGATGGACATCTCACCTGCTATGGCCATCGCGGATCATGAGGGAGAGACAAGTTTTCTCTTTCTTCGCCCTGCTTGAGTATTGGAAGATCTGCTGGACAGACTATATACTTGGTTTAAATCTGGAGTTATGGAAAATAAATGTAGTTCGATGGAGTAGCTTGACGGTAGGCCATAATGGAGCCACTTATTGTGTAATCCCTGTGACGAGACCGGGGTTTGCGGCCTTTTTTTTAAGAGAAAAGAAAAAACGTTCACTGATATCCCAATGAACATAGCCAAGAGATTCGGCGCGGATAGAACCCGTTCTGAGGATCAACAGACAAACATCCATTTCCTTCATGATATAGAACAGGATGCCAAGACAAAGCTTCTTGCTCAGGACAGGAGTCGGCACGGTACCAGCACTTGACAAAGGAGCCTTGCAGAAAAGTGACCTACACAGTCTCTCGTCGTGATAGAGTCTCCTTTGATGCGGATGACCTTGAATCGGTCCAAGCTCCCGTCGTCCGTCCAGACCGTTCCGCAACACGCCCCCTTCCGGAACTTCACAGCCGTCGCTGTGCGATTGTGGCGGGCTCCTAGGTCTCCTCGGAAGAGACGGATGAGGAAAATAGATGGTAAATAAGCTGGCTTCAGCTGAACCTACAGGGCACGGCAAGTTTCTTTGTCTTGAGTCTTTGCTGCTCCACATCTGCTGCAATGCGTTCGTGGTTCTTTGAACCGTCTCGTCGGATACCCTTTGTCGAATTTAAACTTGCTTCACAACAATAAAATAGGGCCGATATAATTTGCCGCTTTGCTAGCCACACATACATACTATACTAGTATGTGCATATATACAAATGCTTCTGCTTCGAGAGGGCTTTCCTGGCCTAGTTATCCTGGCACGAAATCGGATTTCTCGCAGCTCGGCAGGTGGCATAGCCTTCCAACAATCGACGCCAACATCCCAACGCTAAGAGCCCGCTTGTTATTGGTGCACGCCTTCCACAATCGACTGAAAAGGAAAACGAGATCATACATTGAAATAGCTCTAGATCCATGGATCAAGGAGTTCACTGTGTGTGCCCTGTTTCGTGTGGGGTTGGTCAGCCTTCGCATCTTGTTTAGGTATTGGTTATCTCATTGCGCTGAAGGAAGAGAAAGAGGCAATCTACCAATTCGCATCCAAATTACACATCCCAACTCCGCCACGAGACACGCTTGAAGTCCCTGTTGCAAGAGATCATGAAAAATAGGAAGATAGGAGTCTTGCGGCCTTCGAGTTCGACAGTACATATATCCAAATGTTGTTAATGGCCTTGCCATAAGCTCAAGGGATCATCATGGCAGAGCCATGCACGATTCATGCCAGACTAAAACATTTGGCAGCCAGGGTATTCCGCCACGGACTTCTGGGTTACTAGTAAAGTCAGTGTTCAGCACCGACAGTCGATATTGAGCAGCATCTGTGCCTCAATGTCTGCACTCTGTATGTATATGCATGCAAACTGCATATATAATATGTAATTGTCGCATTGGCTTTCCGGAGGTCAAGTGGCACGGCCCTCCTCTGACCCCTTCCCATAGTTTTTGGGCTTATTGAAGAAAGACAAAGCGCCTTCTGGCGCCGGAATGGGGGCACAGATGTTTCCCCAACACATAAGACAGCAGAATCATGGGACATAGATCTAACCAATATCTAATTACAGAAGGGCCATAACTGTCCACGCAGGAGAAAAGATATATAAACCACCGGCACCTCCCCCTGCAAATTCCTCGAATCCGGCCACGAAAGCAGCATCTGCCGTCCATCCATATCCCCGAAGAAAAAGGCCTCTCTCTGGATAATACCTTTTCGAAAGCCTAGTCAAACATGCAGCTCCTCACAGCCATCCCTCTTCTTGTCGCCGCCCTGGCTACGGCAGTCGATGCCGGCGGCTTCATAAAAACATGTTCGGTCACCGCTGTTGCCGACGCCTTCCTGTTCACCGTGTGCGACAAAGATAGCCACGCCAGCAAGCTAGATCTGAACCTTTGCTACGCGAATGATCACGGAAAAATTGTTCCTCGCAACAAGTATGTTCCCCCCCCCCCCCCCCCGGGCGGGGGTCCGGCGGGGGCAAAACAGCCCAAGGCTTCTTGACCTGAGACCCTTCCCTCACCCCAACCTGGATACGTACATACTCGAATGCTAACCCAAAATTAATGAATAGCGGCCACTTCCACAAAACCTGCAAAGACTGTATCGTACAACGCGATGGTTGGATGACGTGCAAGTGTCAAGATGGCCGTGGCGGTGCGCCGGAGTCGAAAATCAACCTGGGTATGCACTGAACATTTTGCTTCCCACCAGAGTTCCTCTCCTTTTTTGCTTTTTTAACTCGTTTTATAGATGAACTCATCACCAACTACGATGGCCGTATCGGCTGCTATACACACCTCGGAACCTGAGCGCTACCTAAGAAGAATCGGGGGACGATCCAGTGGTGTTTGTGGGGGGGGAGAGAACACGCTGTTCCTCAGCTTCGGACTTTCATTTTGCAAAAATCTTAGTTCTGGATATACAGTATGTAAGCCCACACGAGTATAACTATATTTACTATCAAATCTACAATGTAGATTCTTTAAATGGAAGGGATAAGGCGAATTATCGTGATAGCATTCTTGTCATTCAATCCTTTGTGCAAAAGAGCCAGATCCATGGGTATCCGTGCGACTTGTTCTATAAAGTCAGTATATTCTCATCTCCTATAGTCCCAAGAAAACGGTTGCTCAAGGTACGGAAAAGCAGGAGAAAAAAAGAAGAAAAAAAAAAAAAAAAAAAAAAGGCAGAATACGGAGTGATCCGGGTGCGAAAAGTCTATGTGTATTCTAAACAATATCAAAGGATGGAAAAGGAAGACAGAACGAAAAGACAGGAGGGCAAAGAACAGATGCCATCTTTGTGTGTATGGAACACCAAAATAACCACCAAAGTTAGAGGATAACAGCGCTAGCTCAAAATATCAAATATTAATGGATGCCCAGATCATGTTGTACAAGTAAGAAAATGGGGAGAAAAAACACTTTTCAAAACAGAGTCAATTCAAAAACACAGGGAGAGAAATCAAATCAAAAAAAAAAAAAAAAAAAAAAAAAAAAGAAAAAGAAAAAGGACAAGTGCGCGCTCTTAACACACAGGATCTGGTGGATGGATTTGGCGTCCGACGCTGCGGGGGGGAAAAAGGGTAGGAGGCTTTCGGCGAGAATGCCGAACGATGCGGTCCGATTTCATATCAAGATACACGAGAAACGAGTCGTTATTGTTTTTGGGCTTATTTTTCTTTTGCTTTTATTTTCACTCTCTGGAGACATCACGACCAAAGAGTCTGGCTTTGACCCAGTCGAGTGCGACGAGGACGCGGTTGCGCGCTAAATCGGATGACGATCCATGTTAGAAATCCACCAAAGAAGAAAAAAAAAGAGGACCAAAGCTCATTTCGGGAAAATACGGAAGGATGGGATTTCGCACTCGGCCACGAAGCCGAAATAGCACATGCGAGAAGAAAAGAGAGATAAAAACTCACTGCTAAAGCACATGCTCAGATAGGCGCTGCGCCAGAAAAGATACGTTAGGGTCCCACCGCTAGCGATATTCCCGCTGAGCCAGCTGATATCCGCGACGGCGCGTTCCTTGCCGATGTACGCTAGACTTCCCTGGTGGGAGTACTGGAACGGGCCAATCTGCTTGGTGCGGCGGAGCTGTTTCTGCAGCGCCCGAATCTCATCGAGGAGCTGGTTGCGCTTCTCGTCGTCCTTTGCTTCGTATTGCGCGACGGAGAGTTTCTTCAGGTCTTTCTCGATGGCTTCAGTTTTGGCCATGGTGTTGAAGAGCCTTGCAAGGAATGCGCCCTCCTGGCTAGCTACTTGGGCGGTGGGTGCGTAGTTGGTTATGGCGCAGTCGCCGACGGCCCAGATATTCTCGGTTCCGTTGACGACGAGATATTCGTTAACGGCGAGACCGCGGCGGGAGATCTTTTGGGCGGGGATTTGGCTCATCAGATCCTTGACGACGGGGCGCACGGCATTACCGGTAGCCCACACAAGGAGCCCGTACGGAATCTTCTCCATTTCCTTTGAACCATCGGGATTGGTGACCTCGGCTTCGATGTACTTATCTGTGACATTCTTCACCATTGTCTTGGTGCGAATAGTGATCGCCTCTTCTTTGAATGTAGATTCGGTGTAGTCAATAAGCTGCTTGGAGAACATGGGAAGAACCTGAAGTAACAAGTTAGCATCAATGCAATAAAATGGATTGTGAATTTATTTTTTTAAGGCCATACGTTTGGCAAAGCCTCGACCAAAGTGACGTGGAAGTTATCCTTGATGTCCGGAATCCACTTCTTCAGATCCTCATTGAAGAAGTCCTGAAGTTCACCGGCGAACTCAACCCCGGTTGGACCGCCTCCAACGACGACCATGTGAAGAAGGCGTTTGACCTCCTCGGGGGTTTGGTCCTTGAAGATAGCGGTCTCGACGCAGTCCATGATTCGTGTGCGAATCTTCTGCGCATCGCCCACCTCTTTCAAGAAGCAAGAATGCTCCTTGACGCCAGGGATACCTGATGTTCCAGACGAATCAGCGCTCATGCCATGCTAGGCGGGAGACATTACTTTTATGCGCTTGACCTACCGAACGTCGCATTGGCTGCACCGACTCCCACGACCAGCATGTCGAACGGGACTTCGGTCTGGGAAGTATCGCCTTTGATCTCCGATTCATCACTGATCTGCACGACCTTCCTCTCATAATCAATCTTTGTGGCCTTGGCCTCGTAGTATTTCACAGTGGCGGACTTGTGCCGGAGGATGTTGCGAACAGGCTCCATGATCGAGCGATGTTCGATCAGACCGGTGGTACACGATGGCAGAAGAGGGGTGAAGAGGAAGAAATTGCGCGGAGAAATGACGACGACATTGTAGTTGGCGGTATCAAGCTTCTTGAGGAGGGAAACTGAGCCCCAGCCGGTGCCTGTATGGTTCCAATGCTGTCAGTGATGTGCTCCTCAGTCGAGGAAAAGGGATGCCGTACCCAGAATCACCAGGGTCTTCTTCTCTGGATCTGGAGCAAACTGCTCGGCGGGGTGACGCAGTAGATAGATACTGTGTCCCAATGCGCCCACTCCGCCCACCAGCGATAGCAGGAATAACCGATATGACCATCTGAAGAACCCAGCTCTCTTCTTTGGTTTTGGTGCAGGTGACGGAGAGGCGGCGGTGGCATTGGTCCGACGAGGGGCAGAGTGCTCGATTACTCCGCGGCGAGTCCGTATTACGGGACGTGTCAATTGGGCGAATTGTCTTTGGGAGACGGTCGGTAAAGGTCGGCGAGAAGCAGCGATTGACAGCTGCAATGCTGGCCGGGCCAGCACCTTTGAATTGACCATATGTGTTGTGTGTTGTTGTGCTTGTACTGGGGCGTTATCAGCTGTTATCCTGGGTATGACACGATACTACAGCAATAACACGACTGCGCTGAAGGATCCGGGAGTCTTTGCAAATTAGCTACAATAGACAGAAAGGGTAGCGCGATGAGATCAGACTGATGAGGATGTGTCAGACCAGACAAAAAAAAAAAAGCTAGGGAAGAAAATTCTCAATTGCGCAGCAGATGTGATAAAAAGAAACAAGGGACAAAGAGCAAAAGATGACTCTTTACGGGATTAAACTCGCGCTATTCTTGGATCACAGGCGAGAACTCTGAAGCCGGCGAGCCCGTGGATTGGTGTGCAGGGCCGGCCACTAACTCACCGAAACAAGACGGCCGCGTTGCCACTCTTTTAGCGCGCTCTTTTCGCCTTCTTGGTTGCGGTGGAGCTGATCTGTGAATCTGGAGGCGAAAAAGAGAAAAAGTCTGCGGGCTGACGTGCTCAGGAGTCAGCGTGGTCTATGGAGCAAGGGGCAGAGTGATGTTTGGGAAGTTCTTCTGCTGGAAAAAATAAAAAAAGCTCGCATCCTGATGATGGTTAACTAACTAGTCATGAATTGGTGATGGTTCCATTCTGGAATTAACCTTGATTTTTCCTCTGATTCTCCATAAGTCACTCACTATCTTGCTGACATGTTCGTTCTCCAGCAAAGAAATGACATCAACCAAGATCAAAACAGGTGGCAAATCTCGAAAGTGTCTATCTGTAGTACTCCGTAGGAGATGTTTGAATTCCCCCGCCAGGACGATCCCAGGCCATGTAGTTGATTAGTTAGTAATGCCTAAACTTCAGACATACAGCTTGGACATCCCGAAGTTGTGGTGGCTCATTCAGAGCATTTCAAAACAGACAGCAAAAGCTCCTCTTCCTAGAATCACATCTTCGATTCTTCGTGGACGAGTTCGCACTGGTGCGTGCAGCTCTCGCAGCAATGATTTTTGGTCCCGATCGTCCGTCCGAGTCAAGCTGTCATCTGTTAAGACTGGTTCGGGGACTTTGACCAGACTACACTTTTTCTTTCTTACATTTTCTTTTCTCCTTTTTTAGATTGTTCAGTGGAAATCGAAGGGGATGGATGATCTACTTAATTAGTTAGATACTCGTTGACCATGTCGAATTCGAACTTGCTACGAGTCCTGTTGGACTCTTTAAGCCGTCCAACTCGAGCAAAAGCTTGACGAGCAAAGCAGCCGTTGAAGAAATCTCCCCAAAGCCCACACACATCTAACAAACAGTCCAGCAGCCATTCAACCCCGGAGAACAACGAACTCATCCCGCTCTCCTCGGAAATCAAATACACAACTTTCTGCCCGCCCGGTTCCACCCGCAAAAAAAAAAAAAAGGAAAAGAAAAAGGAAAAAAAAGGGAAAAAAAAAAAGAAAAAAAGAGGGCCCAAGCTTCAACGCCTTCCAAAAGCCAATTGCAGCCCGAGGAAGAGCCAGTACTAGACCTTGGGTCCTCTTCCATCGAACTGTTTCCAGGAAGACTTTGCAATGTACTCCGTACATACGGGAGTATAGACTCCGTCTTGTCGACAAGCTTCAACAATCTTAGCTTTACCAAATAACCTCATGCTTTTTTCTTCCTTTCTTTTTTCTCTATCCTTCTTGCTACTCCGCACACGTGCATATCACACAACCTTACCTCTTCACAATCCTGGTTCTGGTACTTGGAGCCAACCAGATACCGATGATTTGTTTCTGCACTTCCACCCCCCTCCCAACCAAAACCCCCACCCCCACACCAGTGTTTTTCCCTATTCCATTATGTATGCATGCATGCATGGAGCATGTCTGGTTATATACATGCATTGTCCTGTGAAGCTGCGAACAATTGGCTGATTGGCACTTATCTCCACGAAAACTCTGGGCCCTGATCATTGGGCACGCCTGGAATGACATACCAACTCTTATCAAGAGACTGAATCCCGGACCCGGTTGACTTGGCTGGCATCCGTGGCGTACACATGCCTTGAAAACTGCATACTCCCGGGTCCAGGGTGTTGCACCGGTCAAGCCCAGTTTTAAATGCTTCCCCACCATCACCTCGTCCTTCTTCTCCTCCTCCTCTACGATCCAAAAAAGGATGATCCAGTGATTTGTATGATTATTATGCATTATTGCTTTTTTATCTTCAAGCTAAAAAGTGATGAATATCCTCTCCCACTAGCAATTGCATAATAGCAGCATACTGGTACAGTTATTGGCCATAAAAGTTCCCCATAAGAGATGCCAGACATGCATGAATCCAGCGATGCAAAACATGAAAGCCAGCCACCAGGACGCCATACACAGAAAAAGAAAACAAATCCTATCAAAAACAAGAACAGGGCCATAACTGATAGGAAGTGAAAACTTCAGGAAATGTAAGACATTATCATCAAGCGCCACCTGAACAATAGCAAAACTGCAAGGCGGAAATATATGGGCTTGTAATCCCAGTTGATATCAAATAATACCCGAAAAGAAAAAAAAAAAAAAGGCGACCAACTCCATGCCACCAAAGTAGATAAACCCACCTAGACAAAGATTGAAAAAGGAGGATATTAATCGCACAATGGAAACGGAGCCAGGAGCATGCAGACCTTGCCGAAAAGGATATCAATAAGACAAACTCCAACCACCCCCCATAGATAGCAAATAGGGTGACAAGGCAATATAGGATTATGAGCAAGGGAAAGGAAAACAAGCTTTAAACTTTGAAAAATGACTCCGCAAAAAGGGCCGAACAAAAACAAAAACACAAACAAAGATGACCAATCCCGTCGAACCCCAGACAATGCTCCCGGGAGAGTAGCGAGAAAAAAGCACGCCAAGGTATCATTTGGAGGGTATCAACGAAACCGCCCGTCCCCGATCCCAGGCCAAGCATCAGTAAAACAAGCCAAGACGCCTTGCAATTCTTGCTCCGTAAAAAAGTCCATAACTCTCGTAAAAGAAAAAGAGGTAAAGTGTAGAAGTAAGGGGAAGTCAAGTCTAGTACTTCCACTGTGGAGGAATATGTTCTTCGACTGTTTCAACGTATTCATCAAACCACCGACACTCCATGACATCGGCGATCGTCCAGCGCCTCATTGGGTCCAGTTCAAGGCATCCCTGAATCAAAGCCAGCGCATCGTTGCGTTGCTCAAGTTCTTGTTCACCCTTGAAAACAGCACCCCTATCCCATCGTCCATGCACAATATTCGTTTGCACCTTGGGTTGGAAGGAGTGATCGAAAGGTCGGGAACCGGCCACAAGAGCGAAAACAATAACTCCGAGAGCCCATATGTCAGCGGCCGGCTCAAGTACTCCTTCTTTTGACATGATCAACTCCGGTGCAGCATACTCGAGACTTCCTCCCACACCGCCGGCGATGCTTGTACTCATGTTCGATGGGCCGATATTCTTTGGCGGTGGTCGATCGGCAGCATCACCGTAGGGGGCAGGAGCATTGACGCTGGTGTCTGCCATCATCCATTCAGACATCCCAAAGTCACAGAGATACAGCTTGCCGAGCGCCTCCTTATCATTGGGGTCTTTGAAATGGAGAAGACAGTTCTCAAGCTTCACATCCCGATGGACCACGCGAGCGTCCTCATGCAGATATCTAATGGCAGATGCCAGCTGATAGGCGTAATGCTTCGCCTGGTCCATCCTGAGGCCTTCGCGGTGGTGCTTTTTGACGAGGTCGAACAAGGTGCCACCGTTTGTCATTCGAGTAAAGCAGAATGTAGCGTAATCTGTTTCATAGACCGCCTCGAGCGGCAAGATATTAGGGTGGTTTAGGTATCTCCACACTCGGACTTCGTGGTCGAACTCGGCTTGGAACTGTTCATTTTGTCTTTCAGACTGTCCGACAAGGTTCTTCTTTACAATCTTGACCGCGAGGCGTTCTGTCCGGCCATCGTCATTGACCTTGAAAACCTCCTTGACAGTGCTAAAACCTCCGTATCCGATGGTTTTGCCAAGAACATAATCCGTCCCCACCAACTGTCCCTCATCGTCGGGTTTCGGTGCGGACGCTTCACGGCCAAACATCGACAAAAAAGCACTGGCGGGAGATTTGCCACCGGAGGTTGTGGGTCTTCGAGACCCATGACGAAGTCGTAAGCTGCCGGGTCTGCCTGAGTAGCTCCGCGCTTTGCCACCAAGGCCGTATCTCCCAAACCATCCTTCCGCTCCATCCAAGGAATGCGGGTGGGACAAAGGAGAGCAGGGCAATGTCGGGATATAAACATCTCGACGCCCGTCTGGGGGTGTTCGCAGTTCGTCCGTGACCGGCGAAGCGGTGGACAGCGATGTTAGAGACGAAGCACGAGGTAATTCTGTATCGACAGAGAAACTGTCAGAAGCCGATGATCCCAAGGATTGCTGCGAGAAGCCTCGTGGGAACAGCGGACGGGCAGCAGGGTGGTACTCGTGGGAGCTGCCCGCCTGGTTTTCTCCGGATTCGCTACTGTCACCGCTGCAAGGTGATTCCACAGCGGCTCGCTCCCTAAGACGTAGGTTCCTCAGGGGTTCATCCAAGGCATGGTGAGTGCCACAGTCAAGGGTGACCTCCGGGTTAAAACTGATAGACGTCCGCCTATTTCGAGTAAAATCCTCAAGGGACGATGAATGTTCTTCGTAAGGTGAGCCATCATGGTAAGATTCGTGATCGGGATGCTTGTCTCCAGGATAGGGAACAGCAATAGGGGGGGTTGGATGGTGCTCCTCCCAGGATTCGGCCTGTTGGGTAGACATGCTGGGATGTATCATGCCTCCTTCATACCTGAAGGCGTCTCGGGGGTTGAATGTTCTTCTGCCATCGTAGTCAAAGTTGTTGCCTTCTCGCACCGGGATGGGTGAGTTCGAGTAACGCGTGTCAGTCTTCTTGTCTTCAAATGGAACGATCTCCGTATGGGCCATCCCCCCTTCGAGGTGGACGGGGATGGCAGAAGCGAAGGCAAAAGTAGCGCAGGTACAGGCCAGCGAGCAGCGTGAAGAGAGAGTAGGAAGTTCTGCTTCGGCCAAGCTCTTATGGGGAGATGCTCAGGGAGGGACTGAGGATGACTTAAAAGAGCTTGGGGGTTTCTCTCATGAGCAGAGAGAGGGTCCAAAGATGGAGACTGGCTGCGGGGGTGTGTCGCCCAGATTGGATCTTGGTACTCCGCCGTCGATAGAGTTTTGTTATCTTCAGAAAGTCTATTATCGGGGTGATTTAGGTTGTGATGTCACGCAGATATATGAGGTGAAGTTGGGGAGGATTGAAAGAACTTAGGTAGAGGTGAAGGAGGATGAAAGAAGGCAAAAAAAAAAAGGAGAAGAAGAAGAAGAAAAAGAACAGGAGGATGAGAAGAGATGGGATGAGCCCGGAAGACCAAGCAGCCAGAGCAAAGCAAAGCAAGCAAGCAGAAAAGATCCCTGCCGGGCTGCGCTGCCTGCTCGAAGCTCCTTCCCCGTCGCGCAGGTTCGGGAGATTCCGGAACAAAACAACGAGAATGCCTTATCGCTGCGCCGCTAAACCCAATCGGGCGCCATCATCAATCGGTTAGATAAGGGAATGGTGTCATCCTCAGTCACGTGTATGCCAAGCCCTGCTGTCGATCGGCGCCGGACACTCCAGGGCTAGCCCTGACCAGTTGCTTGTTCGAGATTAGGCTGCGTTAGCCGCTTGGCGCACACGCTAGGCCGCATCTGGTTTAGAGTGCGCCAGACCTTAATTTTTAGCGCCGCAGACCGTTGCCGCCCAACGCTAAACTCAATCTGGAACCGCCTGTCAACCTCCTGAAAGTCTAAATTGTTGTCTGCCCCGTTTTGTCGTCGCTGCTGCTGCTGCTTGGTGCTGATGCTGCCGGGCTTGAACGACCGCCGCGCCTCTTCGCTCACTTCCAGCTGCCCTCCTCATCCTCTCCCTTTGTCTGCGAACCACGAATGATGGCACGGCCGTCCGATGAGAGCGGATCCGTCGTTCTTTTCTAGTCCACATCGCCTGCTCTCATCGTGGTTGGGCAATTTCCCTTCCCTTCGTTTCCTTTCCTTTCCTTGCCTGCAAGTGTCCCCGCTCCGGAGCGGACTTCTATCTCCATCCTTTGACTCTGTCTGCTATATGGTCCCTGCACGCGGGCCAAATTCTAAGGTTGCAAGAGCTACACTCCCGCTTCGTTCTCCCGGCCCACATATCAATGTTTATCACGCCTTTCCACCTGCCACTTTATTACCCCCTTAGTCGGTGCCCCGACCACGTCTGTGACGCAATATGACTCGACCCCAGATATCCCGAGCCGGTAAGACCTGACTACTCCGTACCAGATCAGCAGCTTCAGGCCTCACCCGCCGTACTAACCACTCGCTGCCGTCCCTAGAAACGGCTGACCTGCAAGAATCCTTATCTCCATCCCCCCACGGCCGCCACCAAGACCAGGCGCTGCGAAATGCCGAACGCGATACTCCGGATGAGATTGCCGATCTTCGAAGAGACGTCCACCACCGGATCGACGAAGAGTATAACTACAGCGATCAGGATGACCCTGACCACCTGAATGGATTGCACGGTGATCGGATGGGCGGTTATCAACAATATCTCGAAGAGGACGCCGCGGACGACGACATGGACGATCATCTAGACGATGATATGCTGGATAAAATCTCCAGTTCTCCCTCAATCGACGATGGTAGGTGCAGCAGGCTACTTTACTTTCCCCTTCAATAGCACCTCTCCTCCTACTGCATACCCCACAGCCCCAGAGAAAGAGGAGCGCAATACACTCCTACACGTAAATTTCTTTATCACTTTAATACAGTGGTAATATTTATCATTTCCAGTTGTTGGTGTGAGAGCATTTGGCTTCACATTGGTTTCCGCTGTCGGGAGAGGGTACTTCCGCTGCATGGACAATACCAATGAGGCTAGCTTGCTCATTGATTGAGAAAGCCCCTATCACTCCACCATTGGCGTTAGCCTAGATTGCTCACAGTTTTGCCGCTATCGAGTTCCCCTGTTTAGCAGTATATGGACAGTCACCCTGTTGTTACTCCGATCTTCCGGCTTTATAGATGGCTGGTCTCCCAGTCTATGGATTTTTATCTCTGTCAGTGCAAACTACTAACAAAAACTAGAGGATATTGATTTTGAATTTGTTTATGCTCTGCATACATTCTTTGCAACTGTAGAGGGCCAGGCCAACGCCACCAAAGGCGACACAATGGTCCTTCTGGATGATAGCAATAGCTATTGGTGGCTTGTTCGAGTTGTGAAAGATGGTAGCATAGGTAAATTTCACACGCAACATCCCAATTTGTGTCCATGACTAACTTTAGTTAAGGTTATCTCCCTGCTGAGCATATTGAAACACCAACAGAGCGAGTTGCTCGTTTCAATAAACACAGGAATATTGATGTATGGACATCCCATACCATATTTCTGGGACTTTTACTGACAACAGTAGCTGTCGGCCACTATGCTTAGTGATAATGCAGAAAAGCCCAAGAACTCATTAAAAAAGGCCATACGTCGGCGAAACGCGAAAACTGTGACATTCGCATCCCCGACTTACTTTGAGGCGTCGGACATCGATTATTCTACCGAGGAAGAAGATATTGACGATCAGCTTTTCGACGAAGAAGGGATACGGGAGGAAGAAGGGGAAGGAGAATACGAGTCCGAACGCTCAGATATTCAGGTCATACGAGAAGAATCTTCTATGGGCAACATGAAGGTCGAACCACTACGTCCTAAGCCTCAAGCTGACAGGGATCCCTCGCAGCCCCAAGACGAGGAGTCAACAGATCGAACTTCGGATCAGACGCGAGACTCTGAGGAGTCGGCTAATCAGCAAGGTAATGCCTAAAGTCATACAGTAGGACAAAGCTGCGATTCTAACTTCAAGATTAGAAGAATTTAGGCATGGAAGGTCTAGAAACGGAGTATTCAGAAATACAGATTCGTTCTTCAAGGATGACACTGTCGAGACGAAGAAAATATCGCTTACTCCAAATCTTTTGCGTGATGATGCCAATGAAAGTAGTCAAGTGACCGACACGAAAGAGGTAAGTTGGATGTCGCAAGGAGCCGTCTTGGCATTCATACTAATTTTTGGCCGCAGACGAGAGGTCGTGGAAGCTTCGAGGCGCTGATTGGCGACAGAAGCAAAGATGAGAAAAAGCGGAAAGAAAAGAAATCAGGGATGCTCAGTGGCTTGTTCAAGAGAAAGGACAGGAAGAGTAAAGCCTTCGAAGACGATGGGGAGGAGCATGAAAAAGTGTCCGAAGAGTCCGCCCGATCATCGACGGAGCGTAAACTCTCCACGGAGTCATTAAAAGAAGAAACACCTCCGTCGAAACCGCAGGCAGCGCCTCAGAGACATCCAAGTAAGCTCCAAAAGCAACCACGCGGAGGCTCTCCACAGACGGTCGACTCGACCACACCAAGCAAGAACCATAAATCGTCGGTACGGGCTGTGGCGCCTGACCTCAATGGAGACACCAACCCTGCCATCCACACAAGTCCTTCCGAACCTAGGCATGACCCATCTTTCACCACGACAACCGCTACTTCTGCGTCAGATTCTGTTTCCAACTCTGCAGTGTCATCTCCCCTTTCACCCAGCTTCCAAAATACCCCCGCTCCCTCAGTCGATGTCGTCGATAAGCCTGCAGAGCTTTCTATTCGAGCCGTTGCTCCTCTTAAGGAAGAAAATAACCCGATGTCACCGAAAGAATCACACGAGAGCGGGTCTCGAGGTCCTTCTTTGGATATTCAGGGCGTTAACGATCTCCCGGTATTGTCGACAAAGAGGCTATCCAACGATGATGGTTCTATCTCTACACGTTCCCTATCCCAGCCCTCTTCCGATATCCTTGACATCCACCAAACGAAAACCGATACTACTGCACCAGCGAGTACCGTAGTTTCACCTGTTCACAGCCCTATATGGAATGATGCTGGTCTCCGAGCCTATCTGGAAGACGGCAGTGATATCCGAGATCTAATAATAATCGTTCACGACAAGTCAAATGTCTTGCCAGCAGGGCCAGATCATCCGGTCACGGGAAATCTGTTCAAGGATGAGAGCAGGTCTCTCAATGAGATGTCTAGTCGCCTCGATGATATGCTCAACGGGTGGTTAGCTCGAAAATCTACCGTTGCAGTAAAATAAACCGGCGATACTAGCTGAGATCTGCCTCAAGCCAAGAGATATTGCTGAACCGGCTGAGCAATCTTATCGTGTGATAAAGCCACTGCGCTTTCAGCAATGGGCTGCTGGGCCATTATTGTTGTGTTTGTGCTGAAAATTTCGTTGAAGGCACTACCACTAAAAGTTTAGGCATCTCTTGGTCCTTGTCTTTCATGCTTTTCTGCACGGCGGCCATCTTGCTTTACCCAGCAGATCCAATGCCAAAATGATTCGATGAGTCGAACAGTTCTGAGGTGTGATGGAGCTTTCGGGCGTTGCTCAAGCTCTTGCGGCCTATTCCGTGGTTATATTTTTTTATTTTTCCCCCCTTCTTTGCCATGCTTTTGAATACCCTCAGCATTTCTATGTCCTTGAATCAAGTCGACTCTCTCCATACATTCTTTTGGACCCTCTTCTACTTTCATTCTTGCACCCCCAATTCGGAGTACTTTTTGGTACGTCTGTATGCACATATTTATGTCCTCCTTTCCCTTTCCCTTCGATATTCTTTTCCTTTGTGACCTATTTTATATTTGGCTTAGTGCCCTTTTTCCCCCTTCCATTCCTCGTTTCTCGTTCAAAACTTGATTGCTCCTTGCATCTCACTCCATATCCCATGAATGAACTATGATCTTTTGCTGTCCTCCTTTCCCTTCTACATACCACCCTTCACTTTACTTTGTCCGCTTCTAGTGTTTAATGTTTGGTAACATACATAGGCAACTACCGACACTCATAGGCACATACTTGGCAAACACTATGTATAAAGGATTTTGAGTTTGAGAAGGGTCACTTCTTTTTTTTGAGCATTTTCTCGACATCAATTCCCTTGGGATAGATGTTGATTTGACGCACGAGATCCGCTGTGTTCCGGGGAGACTGGGCGTAATGCCTCTTTGAATAAGAAAGGAGACAGATGCGATGGTGGAAAACCTAGACCACGAGCATTTATCGCTTCCACTATTATCTCCCATATGTGTAGAGTTGAAAAAAAGCCATTTCAGCGGATCCCCGACGGCACGAGATCGCTCTTCGTGTGGGAAACGTAAAGACATTTACGAATACCTGCAACTTCAAGGAGTGTTCCCTTTCGTATGCAGGAGTTCTTAGCATCCTTTTGGCCCGTGGGAAAAAAACAAAAAAAAAAAAAAAAAGGAAAGGAAAAGGTCAAGGCGAACGCAGCGCCTGGTGACTTACATACAGTCAATGAAGCTGCGGGTTCATCCTCGTCGCACAGGGTGACCTCCTCCAGCCCGGGATCTGATCCACGTTGACGCTCAGTGCTGTGTTCAAAGTCTGGTTCGAAAGCTATGTATATGCACATGCTGCACTATGATTTTTTTTTTTTTTTTTTTTTTTCCCTCCATTTTGCGATCTTTTTCAGAACTGCTTGCCCGCACGTGTGATAGTCAGTCGAGGGGGTTCCAAGCCATGGTGTGTGAAATGTCAGCCCTCAGCTAAGCCATGAAGACACGGATGCAGCCCAGTTTTAAAGATACAAACAGGGTCCTATTCAATAGCTACCACATCTTGCTTTAACAAGATGGCGGTGCGCCTGTTTTTGCTCGCTCGCGATAACAGTTCATGGGATGCGGAGTCTGCTGGTGAGCAGAGAGGCTTGCCTGTGGGTCTGCAGAGTTGCTGTCAGGATCAAAAGTTTAGATCACATCAAGCCAGTTACAGTCCGCCAATTAGTGAGTGAGTTCAGCTTATCAACAGCCAACTGACCAGTCAACTTCGTGCCAGCTAACTAACTAAGTTAACTCTGGCGCCGAACAAATCCAAATCGCGTCCGCGTGATAAGTCTAATCCGACCCAAGAGCGTCTCCTCCATCGATGTTGAGTGAGGAGAGGGAGTGATGTAAAAAGTCCCTGCCCGTCCCTCATTCTCTTTCGTTCACTCTCTTTAGCTCTGAAGCGTTTTGTTGTGCTTCCATTTGTTTTCTCTTCCTTTAATTTATTTATTTATTTTTTTTTTTTTGCCTCTCTGCTTTGAGCAGCGTGTTCATCCCGCGAATGCAACCTGAGGCCGCGAACCTGACCACGTCAGACCCTTCACGCTTCCACGGACTAGTGACGGGCAACATCGAAAACAGCCTCTGACGTACCTGGCCTGTCCGACAGGGCTTCACGTTTCACGCGCTGCTCGTCGAAGGCTTTCCGCCCGCGTTCTGAAACCCTCCCTATTACGGAGTAGTTGACTCTTAGTTAAGACACCGACTTCCCAACCCTCCAACCTGACTTCGTCGCCTGACAACTTCCCGAGGTCATCGGGACTCTTTATTCAACGCTTCCTCTTATATTTGTTTTTTTTTGAGCAACCATCCTGTCCTCAACCTTCCCAACGTTTATTTGACGTTATTTGACTCACCTATGGGCAAGGAGTGAGCCACTGTCAAAATCACAAGCGATCGGGGGCGAAGAGCATCAGATAATGCCTTCACCATGGGTCCAGTACCCATCGACAGCGGCTATTCCTGAGCACTGCGAACCTGCTACGCCCTTCCTGGCTACCGTATCGTCGTTCCTTCACATATGTCTGCCGACGCACTTAGCGTTGCTGTCGTCGACCCTGGGAACACTGAGCATCGTTTCCTGGCTGTTCGCGCAGCTTCCGCAGATATACAAGAATTACAGTCTCCAGTCAACAGCGGGGTTGTCAGTGTGGTTTCTCGTCGAATGGTGCCTGGGCGACTCGGGTAATCTGATAGGTTCAGTCTTAACGAACCAGGCTGGTTGGCAGGTCATCATCGCTAGTTACTATGTGATGGTGGATATTGTGCTTGTCTTCCAATACTACTGGTATACGTACTTGAAAGGATGGCGGTTCCCACGATATGGCTATATAAGTGCTCCCGAGGATGACGACGAGGAAGAGTCATGGGAAGGCGTGCTGTCCTTGGAAACCAACTCATGCTGCCAGTTGGCTTCCACTCCTACGGTGCCGCGACTCGAAGGTAAGACCGTTGCGACACAAACCGTTCGGAGTCTGGATACACCACAAAGCCACACTCCCTCCAACCAGAGCGAGAAAAGAAGTTCGTCCAGTCGTACTATTGAACGCACAGGTGCCAGCGCGAGCAGCCCGGTGCCGTTCACATCCCCCCGCACGGTTATCATGATCACCATGCTCTGCGCTGTTCTTTCGAATGCTGCCTCAATCCCCGAATCCCGCGCTCCTCCTACCACTCCTCACCCATCGCTGCCGGACTCCGACGTCAAAGTAATCGCCGGGCGTATCGCGTCCTGGACCTCCACCATCATGTATCTTGCCTCTCGCCTGCCGCAGATATTCAAGAACTATCGCCGGAAGAGCACTACCGGCCTGTCGCCGCTGCTTTTCTTCGCGGCTTTCTGCGGGAATTTCTTCTACTCGACCTCCTTGCTCACTAATCCAAATGCCTGGTTCGATTTCCCACCGTACGGCGGCGGTGGATGGGCTGGTCCCGATGGTAGCGACCGCTTGGAATGGATTGGGCGAGCGATTCCCTTCTGGCTTGGCGCCGCAGGCGTCTTAGTCCTGGATTTCACGGTGGGATTGCAGTTTATGATGTACGCAGAGAAGGATGAGGAGCTCGTGATCAAGATCCGTGAGGAGGCCGAGGGCCGAAGCAGATGGAAGAAAGTCACGGGTTGGATGAGGGGCTGGATCCCCTCGGGCTCGCCGGAGAGAGATAACGAGGCTCTACGGGCGGCGATGGCGGTGGAGAACCGAGCATTATTGGCATCCCGCGGAAGTGATTCATATGGTGGTGTTTAAGAGGGCTATGTAATTTTTATACCCTATGCGATGTGATGCGATGCTTGTTTTCTTTTGTGATTGACATCAGCATCTTTTAGATGGTCGGGTGCATATGGTCAGATCCCATTAGACTTACACATGGGCCTAAGGGGATCTTTTTGCTTCTTTTTTTTCCCCTTCTTTTCTACCCTCGCTAGCCTGCTTGTTTCCCCAGCATCCACTTGGCCCTTTTTCAACACGCAAGAGCCTGTTGATACCCTAGTGTACAATGATGATCACGACCTGCCTATAACCTTACATTGGCGATGTTCTAGCGTTTTGGCGATTACATTACACAGCATGTTCACATCATGATCCCCCACAGCATGCCGTGCACTATATATGGCAGCATGTTTTAGCCAGCATCCTATTTGTGCTCCTTGGCCTTTTTCAGTGCGTCTTTTCTGTTAACTATATATCTCCAGTGGGCCAAATGCACACTATACCCAAGTGACCTTTGTTACCCACATAGAGGTCTTGTTTGTATGCTACTATAGTGAGATGAGCTATATTATCGTCTTTCTTGGAAGCCATCGGACGAAAGCCAAGATTTCAATTGTCGTCGTCCTCAACAGATGTGACATTGATGACTGGAAAGTCTGCTGAATAAAGTCTTTCACTTCTGCAATGACTGCCACATTGATGCTGATGTTTCTGGTCCTTGCGGAGTATGAGTTTCCACCGCCAACACCAAACAAAAAGTGGTAGATGATGGGGATACCTGACCGTCAACTTCACGGTAGACCAACAGCTGCAGAGCGTGGTCGCCCAAATCTCCGCGAGATATGAAAGGATTGAAAAGGCACTCTCACATGCATGTTGCAAGGCTACAGCCAGACATTGTCACTACAATGTCTCCGCTTCTGTGTCGGAGCTAGGGTTAAGGAAAGCAGAACCCCAGAACAAGTGGCAGGAAGAGAGTCAGATCCCTTCACTCAAGTCTGTTATAGCTTCTAGCTCAAGCAATATATTTCTTCCTCTCCAAGCCTTACTTGATATGACTTCTCAAGTCCTTGCATTTTTCTTGACAATGATATCTATTATTCAATAAGAAATACAGAATGCTTTTTAGTCTTATTTATTTGGATATCTGAGTTTCAGACAGTAAGCAGACTCTTGAAATCATTCTTGATTTTCAGATATGTATACAAGATATCAAAAAAGACTCAGATAATGTTCTATTTAATTTCTTTATAGTATCAAAAGAACTTTTCTTGAATCAATGATTCTTTTAGATTATAAAGTATCAGATCTCTACTTCTTTAAGTTTGCTTAGAGCTATGAAATTAGTTAAAGACATATTCTTAGATAAAAGGAGCTGCTTGATTTTCCGTAGGACTTGATTAGCTTCGTATTTCTCTAGCTATTCTAAACCAATACTTACGACTCGTCGAAGCGACGGATACAGATGAACATCCTGAATATCTCCAAGACTGGGGCACTACGACTATTCCTGTCATTATTTCGAGACTTGCCAGCTGCCAGCAAAGCGAAGTTCTACGTGACTACCTCAACCAGAAAAATCTTACACTATTCGCTTTGGACCCCCAAAGAAGTGCTTGTGGATGTGAAGATTTGTTTCTTAAGGTGCTGGTGAGGAGAGAAGTATTATTTGTGAGATCGAGAGCTACAAATGAATAGGGGAATTGGAAGCATATATGAATATACAAGTCCCCAGCCTCTGCGGTATAGTCTGTGACAAAGAACCTTCCCGGGTTTTAGGAGTACTACTGTATTGGATGGACTGCTAGCATATAACATTAGAACGTACGGGGTACTCTGCGTCCCAACCTCTTTACAGCAGAAGTGGACGAGTCAAATGGCAGACACATTGGATCATTTGCATCAGGCAGACATTGTATGGGGTGATGCAAAGCCTGTCAATGTATTTAAATAATGACGTGTGAATCGTTAATTTTGGAGTTGGATATATCTGAGATTGAAGTAAGAGGAATAAATCAGATATAGAGAGTTCTCAGGCAGTAGAACGATGTGGAAAGCATTTTCCTTTGCATCTCACAGCCATTCTTGACTCCTTGTCTGTATCGAGTCAGAATCGTGTGACAGAGTGCCACCGTAGTAAAGTCATGGCCAGAAAAGAAAATACGTTCGGTCGAAATGGTTGCTGCTCAGGCCTCTTAATGTCTGTTGAAATTGGCTTGCATCATGCTTGGGGCCTTTTGAGAGTATAAACCCTTCTCCCGAAGAGCACTCACCCGGCGAGACGGGAAATATGATGGATGAGTGCATTGGATTGTCCTCAAGTACTCCGTACTCGCTGCTGTTATTCAGCAGTGTTGTCCTTGTAAGTGAAGGAGCAAGGCAACTGACAAGCGTACAGATCAACCTACCGTGAGCTCTCAGCAAAGTTGACCCAACCAGCTGTAACGTGATGAAAGTTTCAAAACCAAACTTGCAAAGTAACTAAGTTAACACTTCAAATTTATATTTTCCCCCATAATTGATCCCCTAAAATTTCATTTCAACCCGCCCTAACCATTCCCTGATCCTCCCAAATCTAGACCACCTACGAAAAAGGCCAATCACCTAGGGGGTGAGTCCAATTATCCTAAGAGCTTTTGTCTCTCGGGGGATTGTTTTTCCAGTCCGGCGGCACTATTTCCAAGGAAGGTTAAGGTTTGAAGCCTTCCCCAACAACAACAGCTCTTCAACGCGTCGACGACGACGCATACAGAAGTCTTCACCACTCACCTATGCTAGCCCAGCGACGAGCCACAGCAGCAAAAGGGGCTCCCACTGGTCAATCCTGTGTTAGACTTAGAGCGCCTCTAGCCAAAAAGGATCAATCCTTTTTGGCTCAGTTGGTTAGTTCAATATCCTGTCAATATCTACGCGAAGAATTAAGGTTCCTTCTTATCCCTAGGTCCAGCCAGTCCCCTTTGCTGACCTATGATTTAACATCAAAGCCTATATCTATTCCTATAATAGGGCTATTATAGACGGCTTGTGCGTGATAATTATCATCTACGTTCGAGCCTGCCGGCTGCTCGCCATGGAGGAAGATGAGCTTACTCGGCTTCGCCGCCTTTATGAGGAAGAGAAGCGGCTCCGCGAGGAGGAACAACGCCGTCGAGAAGCAGCCGAGAGCAATGCATTGGAAGCACAGCTCCGTCGAGAAGCAGCCGAGGAGCTTGCACGGGGGGCCCAGCCGCAAACTGTTGAGCAATACCTCGAAGCCTGCCATTCACTCCAGCTCTCGATCCAGATAGTTACCAACCCCGCCCTGACCACACAAGGGGAGCCTACCAACCCGAGCAATAGGCTCTTCCCTCGACGGATCATTCCATGGGGTGAGGATTTTGCAATGCAACAGGAGGCAATCTGGAACCAGCTAAAAGGCAGCAGCTTGTTCTCTTCGCAGCCTCTTTTTCCATCTCAACATAGCTTGCAGTTTGTAAAGTCTTATCTGAGGCCGCTCAGCAGTGAGAACTGCCTCCGTTATTTTGAACGTGACGTCGTTGAGAACCCGGTACAAACTCTGATGGATGAGGTATACAAAGATTCCACGCTTCGGGATGCCCTGGGCCTCCGAGGAACAGTGACATTTGAGAGCCATACTAACCTCGAGCCGTCACCTGTTCCCCCCGGGGCCACCAAACCCCGGCGCAAGGCAAGGGGAAAAGGCAATCAAGCTGACCAGTACTGCGTCTATAGAGACTCTGGTGGAGGTCATATCCCGGTATTTGCGATCGAGTACAAAGCACCGCACAAGCTGCGTCTCGATGAGCTTGTCACAGGGCTCGAGTCCGAAATCCAACCAGAGCGCGATGTGATCAACAAGAATGGCGGAAACTTTGCATTTGCAGCCAAGTGCCTCGCTGCTGCGATTGTTACTCAGCTCTTCTCTTACATGATTGGCAAGGGTATCCAGTACGGTTATGTGTGCACAGGAGAAGCTTTTGTCTTCCTGCATATTCCCAATGATGACCCGACAATCGTTTATTTTTCACTGTGTGTCCCGAGCCTAGATGTCATGGACGATGACCAAACAAGGCTCCATCGCACGGCTGCCGCACAGGCTTTTGCCTTTGCTATCCAAGCCCTCAGTGTCGACCCGCCCCCAGCTTCATGGCACGATCGGACGACTACCCTGGATGTTTGGCCAGTGGAGTATGACGACGTGCTAAGAGACATTCCCGAGACGGTGCGGAAAGAACCCCGCGCTACTCCATATAAACCACAACGTTGGAAAGGCTTTAAACGCTCTCCGATTCAGACCCGGAGTCGGTGCAAGCCTTTGGACAGTGACATGGTGGCCGATGATGACAGCAGCAGCAGCGAAGAAGGCCCGCCCTCTCCCAGCCCAAAGCACTCCTACCGTTCTGGTAGACGCCAGGCCTTGATGTCCCCAGGGACAAGATCTGACAAAAAGCCCAACAGTTCTCGAAGAGGTCAGCAACCAGTGCAACAGCGAGTGATAAACAATCGACCATTTTGCACCCAGAAGTGCTTACTGGGGCTAGCAAATGGTGGTCCAGTGGATGAAACATGTCCTAACTTCGAGCATCATGGGCCAGAGCACATCAGCCAGCAGGAATTTCAGCAACTTATCCGCGAACAACTTGCCAAAGACCGGGGCCCCGATGCGGACTGCGTCCCGCTCTACATATCTGGGGCGCTCGGGTCTCTTTTTAAGGTGTGCCTGTCATCTCACAGCTATACCATGGTAGCCAAAGGCATGGAGAGCTTTGATCTTGACAGACTCCAGCATGAGAACAAGATCTACAATCGCCTCCGATCTATCCAGGGCAAGTACGTCCCTGTATGCCTCGGAATGGTAGATCTAATTCTACCATACTACTATGACTGTGGTGTCTTTAGTCACTTTTTATTTCTCAGCTGGGGTGGTCAGCCATTAGCTCATTGCATGAACCTGCTGAACAAGCAAAATGTCACTGACACTGTGACCGCAGCTTACAAAGAGATGCACAAGCTTGGTGTTCTTCACTGTGACGCGGCACCACGCAATGTACTCCACGACAAACATACTGGAACTGTCATGATTGTGGATTTTGAACGCTCCGAACTCGATTCTCGGGAGGCCTTAGGGCCGATAAGCCCGAACGCTGGTAACCGAAAGAGGAAGCGTGTGATATCAAGGCAGGGAGAAGATGCTTTTGCACGAGAGTTAAGTTCTATTGTGACGGCTCTTTCGCGAATGGAAAAGTAGCCGGCGTAGGGACAGAAGAGAAGCCAAATCCCAGATGATGAGGGCCGTCATCATATTCTTTGCCTGCTGTGAGGTTTAATGTTCTTGAGGCAGATACCTAGTAGTCAGCAGAATAGCTTATTTCTTCCTTTGGGAGCTGGACTCCCTTATTTTCACCTCATGTGAACAACCCTAATATGCACATTTCGATTCGCAAAACCTACCAGACTTCAAGAGGCTTTATGAACCCCATCTGGGGGATATTTATTGATACGCGAGACTATTCGGTGGGGGGGGGGCAGCCCCCTGTTATAGTTGCTTAGGAACACAATTCATTGCCTGACACTTCATATAGCCATGCCTTCTCAGATAATGTTCATCCCAGCGCATTTGTCATCCGCAAAGCATCCGACACCAAGATTTGAAAGCAGTTTTTGACCTCATTGCAACCATCCCTCGAGCAAGCACAGTCCGCCCCAATGCTGATGTCTATTTCCATTGATCTGGGAAGAAAACCGATACCCGATGACTCCCAGACAGATGACTGGTGGGAATCATGAGATGGAGAAAGGGTGAGGACAGAGTTGCAAGCTTATTGCATTAACTCGGAATATGAGAATCCAGATTCGCTGATAACTAACCTAGAGATACAATGGTTGATAAGAAGGCACCGGTCAAAACTGTCAATGTATGCGTCATCAATGAATCCCTCGATTCTGATACTATCCATACAAATTAAAGGTTCAACCGGAACTTGAGAGAGAGAAAGAGAAGGTAACAATGTGCTCACAAGAAAGTCAAAATAATAAAATAGAATAAAATATCCAACAGACATGCGTGTCGCTCTCCGTTTCCCGCGAAGAGCGACCCATGTTGAGATTTCGATCACCAGGGGACCTTATGACGTTCAACATTGCCTCTAAATATGCCTGGCGGGGAACACAATTTAATATATAAAAGGCTCGGGGGGTTATGCAATCGAAAATACTGTTCACATGCCGAGTGAACACACTTGAGCAGCAGGCCGCACCACGGACAGTAGGGGGCATAGAACAACGGGTCGTGATACGATTAATGCAGAATAGCGAGGAGCATGAATTCTGTCCGATCATAAAGTTTGGAGGTATAGGAAAAAAAAGACATGTCGGGCGTGGGGCACATTTCACCACAAGCAAGAGAGCTGAGGCGGATCAGCAAGCATTGTGCTGAATCACAACTGCGGATGATAGCTTGTCGACTGTAGTTGACGTACCCAAACAAACACACCCAGGGTGGCATGTTTGGTTTCCTATTCTGGATTCTGAATATGACGGTATGGGATGATGGGTACGCAGATGCTTGAACTCATGATCAAGGCGGTTGTCCAGAGCGGAGAGGATTTGACCGGCGCAAGCATTCGAACCCGGACGATGTTTGTGTGGCTCCATCATTAAAGCTCCCTCAAGTATTAAGGGGTAGAACAAATATATAATATACGTCATCACCAGTAGTAAAGCAAGAGTGCGCCCCTGCACCGACCCGGGACCATATCAGGGGTATTCATTTGGAGGATTGACATGGTCCTAGGGGGAGGCGTAATATCGCCTCTCATTGTGATCCGAGAGGAGAGCATCCCTGTACTGTAGTCCTGCATCGAGAAATGAAGAGAAATGAACTGCCAGTAGTCAAAGTCGCTGTAAGCCAGCCCTGCATGAACATTACCAGTGCAGCAGAAAACGCCCTTCCCTAATTTTATAACGACGAAATTGTTGTTAAGCTAGTTCAGAGAAGGTAGAAAGTATGTAACCAAAGAGCGCTCGGACTCTCTAGGTTCAATGCCTCATGCTGCCTCGGCCGCATGTGTCGTTCATATTGCAAGGGGGAGGATTCGAAAAAGTTCACATATCGAGACCCCATGCGGAATCCGGATTCTATATATTGCTCTGAACTGGATTGGCTTGCCTCTGTTTTGATATAGGGATTGAGGTAACCGATCGAACGAATACCAAACTATCGACAACATCCCTCCTTAACAAAGCTCAACAGCAGGCCCTAGGCCCAACCTTGAGCAGGACCGCGAAGAGGCAATGTTGGAGTGTTTTTGAGTTATAATCGCCGATACCTCTAATATCGCTATTGTCGAAATTTAGTTGATTCCGTCATAGATGAATTATCGCAATATCCAATGAAATGGTATCATATCTATTGCCATTCCGTCATATATATACTTTGAGCGTTCTGGGCATCGGGACTGCACACAAGAGGGTTACATGCGGAATAGCGCAGTCCGTCCGAACTGTAGTCAGAGCGAATCCTTTGCGGAAGCATGGACTAGCTTCAGTTCATGTGTAAAGCATGCAATCCCAGCATTGTCGCGTCAATTTAATGAGCCGAGCTCGCAGTTATAAGTTGGGATAACATACACGTAGGATCTGGTATGCCCCCGCGCAAGTACTTCGTAGCGGAGTGTCAAGACACGGCGAACGACCCACGCAACTGACATGGCTACTGTTAGGATCTAGCCCATGTTTTCATGATGCTCCTAGACGGTTTGAGATACACAGTCAGCTCGAAGCGCGCCCGATAAAGAGAGGCCGATAGCTAAATCATACATCAAACACTGAGTGAAGAGTGCCGATGAAGAGGGGACAGGTAGACAACTCCAAGAGCTTCGACACTACAGACACAACAGAGGAGCCCGTGTTTTCGATGGCGCACGCGAACGATGACATTCCAAGCAGCACGGAAAATAACCTGCTATTCCAAGCTCTTGGATAACAGGACCATTGACAGAACAAGGCAGAACCTGAGCAGATTCGACAATGGATCACGAAGAAAGCCACATGGGGTTGGGATATTCTTCAAGACATGCATCGGATCTCCGTCACGCTGGTGATCACCCTCAGCTCCGAGATGAAGCCATACTTGTCAAAGAGGATTCCGTTGCTCTGTGTGATAGTTGTAGCACTGCGACTCCAAGACACCCGCGCAAGACCTTACATATATACATACTGAGGGGACCCGCCATTTTGATATCCCCTGCGTGTTCAACCAGCCAGATATAGTGGCCAATCTGAGATTTGAGCCGTGAATCGAACGCATGGTGCGAAGCCATCCATAGTTATCTCTTCCGCCCATCATCCATTGATGATGATAATATATATCATATTCGCCGTTCACACGTGTCAGGACTGTTGCGGTTACCCCTTGCAGTTTATCATTCCACCAACGCATAAGCTGAAGAATGACATGGATCCAGTAGTCTCCCACTCCTTTTGTAGGTTGACAGTGAATTTGTTGATGCCAGTAATACGAACATATCGATTGAAATCAAAGCTCTTCATGGCACGGAACGATGCAGCGGATTCGGGCCAACCAGCGACGCCCCATTTCAAGACGGGCGTTGTTTTCGCTTAGGTGATTCGGCTTGGACACAGACGCGTCGGCCCTGATTCGAAGAAGCAAGCCGCATGAGAACCCAAGCTTTAAGGGCAATGCACTTTTTGCCGACCGTTCGTTGTTGGATATATATCGCGCAGCTGAATGAACGTTGTAAACGCCGAACCGCGAGATATTATGGCACATGTCTTGCTTCGGGTACGGACATCCAGGTCTCGTATATATAGCAGTAAAAAAAACAAATCCCCCAAGCTCTTAAAAGGAAGGAAGACCGTGGCTTATCGGCTCCTCCGGCACAAATAGCATAATCCCCATCCCGTAGGGATCTCTATCACCCGACGACACCCATCCCTCTTGTTGCCCTTCCTCTGACATGGATGAAATCCACCGGATTCCGTATGACCGCAGACGCAATGTCGAATAATTTGATGGCACATTTTCTCGGGACGTTTAAATACTCTTCGTTGAGTGTCGTAGGCAGCCTTTGCCGGATGAATTTCGAATTCAGAGGCTCAAAACAAGCGATGACACCGAAGGAGCAGAAGGAAAGGAGGGAAGGATTTAGGATATACTTGGCAGAACAAGAGGTCCTGACAAGGTAATCTGGAGAGTTGTATAATGTAGACCGGGAGATGTGTGACTGTGATCGAGGAGGGGGGAGAATATTGCAATTCTGACAGCCGTCAGGCAGTCCGCCGGGACAAGGACAATATATTCACGAATCGCGAACTGTTGCTCTCTCCTATCAAATCCAGAGAGAGCGCGAAAGAGAGAGAGAGAGAGGCACAAGTAATAGACCAATTTTGACGGAGGTCTGAAGAAGCTGTTGTATAGTATCGTCGCGGGTACCTTATATCACCGTTCAACAGACCCCACGTTAAAGTTCTCCCAATCCCGAAGACGGCACGTATATATTTGATCTGTGTGGTGGACCGGAGCACGAAGAGTAGTTTGCTCACATCGGCAGATCTTCGATCAGAGGGGCTAGCCCGGGATGTCTCACCGTTTGAAAACTTGTGTTTTGAGGAGATGCGCCTGGATCCCCTACAACAACAGCACGAGGACTAACGGTGCCAAAAATGAAGTAACGGAATCATCCTACATGCCACACACATTAGATCAAGAAGGCGAACCGGACGCAGCACGTCAGAGAACAGTAACTTACCACCGGCAAGCAGGGAAGACGCGGATATTCAAAATAACCCCGTATATACCGTATAGAGGAGACAGACAAAGAGGCTGGAATAGCCCTGAAGCGAAGACGGCAAGAAGGCACGGCACTTAAGATGTTCGGTATACTCACGAGAATTGTCGGATAGACGGGAAATATGCGACGTATCCAGGCTTCGGCAGGAAGTGGGAGGGAGACCAGGAGCTGCAAAGGGGGAAATGCCTCCCAATAACTGGGAAAACGAAGGCAATCGATTTTCTCCCTGCAAATCAAAGCTGGAGCAAGGTTCAAAATCACAAGACGAAGAGCTTCAAATGGGGAAAAAAAAAAAAAAAAGCAACAGCGGTAGATGACCAGGAAAGCTCCACGGAATCTGTTGTTTCTGGAGCAGCTTGAGAGACGAACAGTCAAACCTCAGAACAACATTATATATGTGAAAGCAAGTTCCAGGATCCTGACCATGATTGTGTTGATTATGATGAGAGAAAAAAAAGGAAAGTTGGTCTTTTCGCAGGAATCCAGGGCCTTAATATACCCTTTCCCATCCGCCCAAGGCCAGCCAGGCTCAGACTGCTAGCATACACGCACAGGCCACTGCTGGGGCGGAGGAGGGCACATATCCGTCTCTGCAAAAGACAAAAAGAGCGAATATCCGCGCAGACCCCCTTTTTTCCCCCTCCACCTACCGGGTCTTGCAAGCTGTGTGTCACAAAGAAGAGCAGATCAACAGGCCAAAAGCGAAAAAACACAAAACAAAAGGTGGACAGTGTGTACGGCTAACATGTCGAAAATGAAAGGGCCGTTTTCCACCCTGAATGTCCAATAATGGGAGGCAGTGTCTTCCCGTCTCTTGACAGTGAGCGGGACGCCATGGTACCAAGAGGCTAGAAGTAATGCACGCGTGTACATACGGATAGTTGAAGACAAAGAAAATACAGACAGGCACAGACAGACAGAGAGGGGGAAAAGATAGAGAGAGAGAGAGAGAGAGAGAGAGAGAGAGAGAGAGAGAGAGAGAGAGCGAAAACATGCCAAGTGATAGCCGGCAGACACTCTTCCGATATGAAAGACATGTCTCAACGCTCCTAGCCGGGGGGAGATTGAGAAGAAACACGGTGTGGTTGGATGGAAAGAATCTCCGGAGGGAGGTTTCGCAGCAGGACAATGGGAAAAGTGAACCCGCTGCAAGAGCGGATATCGACTGCGCTGCTGCATTAGGATCATGCATGTAATATTAATTCGCAGATAAGTATGTATATGTTAGTCCTCATTAGTTGTCCAAGAGCCCAGGCCGCACAATGAACAGACAGTAAGACAGAGGAAAAAAAAAAAAAAAAAAAAAAAAGAGAGAGGGAAAAGAAAATCCTGCCTGGACTCCAAAAAAAAGCCACATCATCCGATTCTTCCGCTAGGCGGGGATATTAGATAGCTATGCATTATTAGTTTAGTTACAAACCATGCCCATCTCCAGACATTTCTCTATTGACATCGTAATTAAAAAAAGGCAGAAAAGGGGGAAAAAAAAAAAGGAAGAATAACCCTCAAGAAAAGAGTTGAAGCCGCAAAGAAGCAAAGTTGTCCATTAAAAGGCATTAGGTTTTTCATTCTCTCATGAATGTACAAATCCGCGGTCTTCAGTCTTTTTTCCTTTTTTCCTTTTTTTTTTTTTCCCTTTTCGGGGGGCGGTGGAGGGGAAAAGGAATTGGGGGAAGCTAGAAACTGAGACAAATCGGGGAAAAGAAGGCAAAAAAAAGAAAAAGAAGAGAAGAGGTAAAAGCGGAGCATAAGGCGCGTACAACACGAGTGGGAATCTCAGAGAAATAGAGCCAAAGACAACTCTGGAGAGCAAAACCGCATGCGGGAGGGAATATCATGCCCGATGAGTCAGTGTCTCGGCCACGAAGCCGGGCCAGACTGTAGCCGACATGAATCTCAGAAGCGGCAACCCGATGTATCATCGAATACTCTGTATATACCACATAGGCTAGCTTCCGAGACAAATAGCGCGTCAGAGGAGGGCTGGCAGCAAGTTTCGGCAGGAAACCTCGCCAGAGAATGAGGGAAGAAGCGGAGGAGAGATAAAAGGAAAAAGAAAAAAGAAAAAAAAAAAAAAAAAAAAAAAAAAAGGGAAAAAAAGGGAAGAAGAGGAAGAAGCAAACAACCGGGATTGAGTCACCCAAGACATTATTACCTCCACAGCAGAAGAGAGCTCTGGGGGAACCAAGCTCCCATCAACAACAACGCCGACAAAGCTAGAGCGAGTGTACGCTGCAAAATGCTAGACAATTGGAACCCCCTTTTTTTTTCCTTTTTTTTTCCCTTTTTTCTTTTCTTTTTTCTCTTTTTCCCTCTGCCATCAAACGGCTCACATCAGCAGGGTGGTAACACACCCCTTAACCGAAAGAAGAGGCAGTCCACATCTGAAGACGGTGGAGGGTATCACAACGGCCCGCACTGATCCACCCTCCTTTCGGAAGACGCAGCCGACAAATAGAAGCCTCCCGTTATCTTAGAGGCTGCTTGACGTCTTGGACCCCCCGACGAACAACGTCTTCGTAACGCCATCTCGGAGGAGTGATTTTGCCCGCGGTGGTTTGCTGACGATACCAGTCATTCTCCATCTCTGGGCTTACTCCGTCTGGAGGAGGTAGGGCACCACCAGCGACACCACTCGAGAACTTGAGCTGTAACACATTTCCAATTTCGTCACACGCCGACAGTAAACGGTCGAGATCGTCTTTCGTATGTGCGGCGGAGACACAAAATCGAGCTCGAGATGACACGAGGGGAGTGGCGGGGTAACCGACGACGACGACCGATATCTTCCTCTTCAACATCTCGTGTGAAAAGGCCGGCATCTTGGCGGGGTTGAAGAGCAGAAGAGGGATGATCGGTGAGTCATCGTTTCCATAGACGATGAAGCCAAGACGCTTCAGGCCCAGGCGCAGGTACCGTGAATTGAACGCCAATCTCTGCAGTCTCTCTTCTCCTTGGCCGGGAACAAGTTCTCCGGTGATGATCCTTAGAGACGTAGAGATCTGAGCCAATATTGGCGGCGTTGGTGCTTCTCCGAAGAACACCGCAGCGTTTGATGCGCGCAGTTTGTCGATGACGACCTTGTCCGCAGCGATGTAGCCACCGTTCGCACCAAACGACTTTGTAAGCGTACCCATCAGGATGTCGACCTCCTTTGTGTCAATGCCGAAATAGTCACAGATTCCTCTTCCCCGTGGTCCAATGGCTCCGACGGAGTGGGCTTCATCGATGAACAGGTTGAACTTGTACTTTTTCTTCAAGGCAAGGATTCCCGGAAGGTTGCACATTGAACCCTCCATCGAATAGAGCCCCTCGACGACCAGCAGGATCTTCTTCCACGGGCGGTGGGTGCGTGGCTGGCCCTGGGAGATCACTTCACGCAGTTTTTTCTCCAAAGCGTTGACGTCGTTGTGCTTGAACATCTCGATAGAAGCCCCGGACAACCTTGCACCGTAGCGGATAGACGCGTGGTTTAGCTCATCCGAGATGATCAAGCACCCCTTGGACACCAGGGCCGGGAAGATACTGGCGTTAGTGCCGAATCCCATGGAGAAGACCATAGACGCTTCCTTGCCCACGAATCTGGCGACCAGGTCTTCGACTTCGACGTGGAGATCCTGAGTGCCGGCGTCGACTCTGGTGCCGACGGAGCTGATGCCGTATTTGCGGATGGTCTGCTCAACGGCATCCGCGCACGGGCCTTCAGACTGGGCGAACCCGAGGTAGTTGTACGAGCTCATGTTCAGGGTGTCCGTGGTCGTGCCGGTGAAGCGAAAATGGCGATTCTGGTCATCGCTGACACGGTCGATCAGGGTGATATATCGTCCGGGAACGCCCGTGACGGGGCGCTCGAAGCAGTCGTTGATGCGAAGCTTCAGGCGACGAACGTAGAAGTTGTCGAAATCACTGTTCAGGGCGCCGTAACCGTTCTGAGGTTTCAGATGGCGGTAGTCCTTCTCCTTGAACCGCTTCCCGAAAAAATCGCGGACATGGCCAAACGCTATTAGGATTAAGTAACTGATATAGGTGGTAAGCAAATAAAAATACGGGGGTTCGTCCATGATCGGGTCCGGAAAGGCGCCGCCCTGGTGACGGGAGGTGTAGCGGTGGGTAGGATGACCGAGGGGCCCGAACTGGGCATGCTGCTTTGCGATGCGGTGCGCCTCGTGGGGGGAGGGCGGCTGGAAGAGAGTGGTCGCGGAGGAATCCATGCTGGGCGCGTTTGCGGTGGAAAGGGAGATGGTGGGCAGACGAGCGGAGCCGTTCACAGCAGCAGGACCGTTGCGTGGATGTGAGCCACCACCAGGGGTCGAGACGGCTTCCGACTTGGGCTTGGGGCTACTGAGGAGCAATTGGCTGAAGCGGTTGCGACTTGGATTTGTAGGTTTTGTCGTCGAGAGTTTCTCAGGCGCGGTGGAAGCAGAGGACGAGGAGTTCGAGGAGATGTCGACGAGGGAGCTCGTAGGTCGACGAGGCATCGCAGGGGGAGGGTTTAAAAAAAAAAAAAAAAAAAAAAGGAAAAAAAAGAGAGAGGGAGATTAAAAGGGAAGTAAAAAAGGTTTATCTGAAGGGCTCGAATCGCAGCTCAACTACGCCGATTGGCGCGGCAGCCGGAGAGGAGAGCAGAGCAGTGTGATGGCGCTGGCGAGGTAGTCTCGATGGAAGGCTGAGTTTTGGGGAGAGAAAGCTTCTGGCGAGAAAGGTCAACGATTGCATCCATGGAAAAAGGGAGCGACGAGGAATTCCAGAGAACGCCTATCAACACTGATGACCGTTTACGCTTAAATCATGATATCTTTTGTCTCAATTTTAAGGGCTGTGTGGCGTAAGAAAAGAAATGCCAAAAAGGAAAAAGAAAAAGAGGGAAGAAATTCATGTCGAGCAAGGACAGAGAGGGCCGAGAACAAACCTTCAGTGGAGCGATCCGGTGCAGCCGGGAATAGTGGGAACCAGAGCACAGAGAGAGAGAGAGAGAGAGAGAGAAAGGGGAGAGGAAGAGAGGAAGAGAGGAGGGGAACGGGGGGGGAGAGAGAGAGAGAGAGCACACAGACGCGCGAGGACGAGCTCTCCAGGCTCACGACATCGGAAGACTGCACGTCTCTCTCTTGGAGATGTAACTAACTAGTTGTTAGGAGACTTTTGAGGAGAACTTTTCGTCTCTTACTTGACTTTTGACTTGCTGCTGTTTTTTTTTTGTTTTTGTTTTTCGCTGTCTGCGTTTGATTCGGACGCGAAACGCCGTTACCGCCCGCCGCCCGCGCGCAGCCAACCACAACACCGCACAGGGAGGTAAAGTAATCTTACGGGCCTAATATTACTAGCGCATTCAGGGGCAAAACAAAAGCAAAAGCAAAAGCAAAAACTGCAAACCAGCAAAAAAAGCAGCTAAAAACAGCTTTGACGGGCACAACGCTCGTGACGGCGAGGGATTGCGTGGGAGAGACAGCTTGACGTTGAATGAACTGGTGAAATAAAATTAAAAAAAAAATTAAAAAAAAAAGCACACGAGGCAGGGCAAGCTATTTAGTTGACCGGCAGCTCTGACTTGGAACTCGCTCTCTGGCGAAGGGTCTTGCTGTCTCATCACGCCCTGAGCGGCGGCTCTAGCCTCTATCGTGCTGTCTGCTCCGTCTTGGTGGTGGTGCAGAGTGGGCTGGATCCTAAGGACCGGGGTACCAGGCGTCATCATATTGTGTATGCCATTTTGAAGGAATGGAGCAATGAACCCGACTTAGAAAAACCACAAAAAGCAATGAACCCAACTGGAAAAACCACAAAACATCTTAGCCTGCCATTCGACAAGCCGGCAAATTTCCCCTGGCCTGTGTACTACACTGGAAAAGTGTGGGCAAGGGAGCAACCTCGCGTTCCATGTCTGTTCTATCGAGACCCTGCAGGACTCATCCATTCTGCCTCCCGGTTACCGGAACTCTGGCCTGATGTGGATTTGAGACCTCTCCTCTGAGTTGCAAAAAAAAAAGGAAAAGAAAAGAAAAGAAAAAAAAAAAACAAAAAAAGGAACAGAAAAGACAAAAGGGGGCTAGCCCAAGTCATCTGCAGGTGTGTAAAGGAACGTTGGCTTGAGGGAGGCGTAGATGCCCATACGCCCAGTGCCTACATAGTTACTTTGCTGCTGGCCTCAAGGATTCGGACCAAGAATTGCAGCCCGGATCCTCTGCTTGTGACGCAAAGGAGCTGGTTCTCGTAAGATGATAAGCCTAGATTAAGTCTTCTTCAGGATATTTCCTCCGAAGGCCACGGAGGATCCACCTGGACACACTCCCCATCGCCAGCAGCAGCAAAGTACGTTCCGTGCCGGGGTCCACTCGAGTTTAGCACACTGATCGATAGAAGATTCGTCTGATCTGTATCGCTCCTGCGAGCCATACCGCTTAGCCTCCGAGTGGCCACCAAGAACAGATGACATACGGGTGCCTTTGTGAGGAGTCGGAAGGTAATGTAGCTACAGATGGCGAGTTTGATATGCATGATATCCAGACCTACGAGACCATCAATTCCCCAGACGCAGAGCCCCAAGTGGCCACGAGTGGGCTGCTTACGTCTGTGGGATCTGCCGTCAATTTCCCGAAAAGACAAGTTCAAATCGCTCGCTCCGAGAGCTGGAAGAAGCACACTCCAATACGGAGTATTCTGTCTCTCTCTCTCACACACACACACACACACACACACACACGCTCTCTCTCTCTCTCTCTCTCTCTCTCTCTCTCTCTCTCGTGTCGATTTGGTGACACCCTGTTGCGCCGCCGGAACTACAGCAGTTGGAGAGTTAGATATGCTCATTCCAAATATTCTCCTTCGTCTCCCTTGGCGGAAATATGCGTGGTCTAGCTGAGCTGCGATTCCTCCCCCGACCCAAAAACACCACCGCTCACTTTCCACACAACGAGGAAAAAATATGGTAAGCTTTCGATCATGATTGGGATTTCGCCTATCGTTCTAGAACCTGTGGTCCAGAGGCGTGGTTCAGCGGCTCACTCCTTTGAGTGCACGTCATTCTTAGTTGCGGTCATGCATATTACTCCCGTACAATCCAGACTGCTTGTGAAGACATCATCGAAGCGATCCAGACCAAGGATGGCTGAAGCCACCCACATTACTCTGTAGACGCTGGAAGAATGAGAAAGGAGTTGTGGTCAGACGGGGAAGAAGGCACATGCTACCCAACTATGGGCGGAGTTATTCTATAGTTAGTTTATCTTAACGTTGCCAATTACCCAATTTTGTGCGTGTCTTCCAACCCCCAACCCCCAACCCCCATCGCCGGCGAATCCCTGTAGAGGCCGTTTTCTGCGTTTCCTCTCAGGTTAAGCAAACGGGGCGTGTGATTTTATAATTAACTAAGTGCACAGCGGCGCATGTACTCCTTGTGTGCAACCCTCTACATAAGATATACAGTGTATCTACATACAGCAGGTTGCTCCGTGCAAGTTGCACAGCCTCCCATAACCTCACGTGACTGGTCCCAACAGCGGCTCAAAACGGTGGGGCGGAAGTATATTAACCCGATTCCGGTCCCGATTAGGCAGGAGGCAGCGTTGGTATTACCTAAGCAAGCCAGGCCCCGACAGCCTCTGATTGGCCAATTCGGCTTCCGACGCTTCGGAAATTTGATCTTTTTTCGGAAGGCGGCGAGCGGACGCGAGTTTCGGCGGCGGAAGCGAAAAGTCGAAGAGAGAGAGAGAGAGAGAGAGTTGAAAAGCGAGTTGAAAAGCGAGTTGAAAAGCGAGTTGAAAAGCGAGTTGAAAAGAGGAGTTGAGAGGCGGGCGGATTCAAACTGTCTCACAGAAAAACAGAGGGAGGGCCTTGTTGTTCGCGGGAGTGTCCAGTAACTAGTTAGTTGGTTGGTTAACTTATATACTTCTACTCCGTACTCTCACCCAAATTCTAATCCGCCGCTCCGATAACAGTAGACTAGCTCTCGGAGAACCACCGCCGCCGCCGCCTGGAAACAAAGAAACCCCTCCCTCCTCCCACTCACCAAGCCTGCTGGCCCCCGGTGATGCCATTCATAGACAGGACCAACGGTATGGGGGACTACGCAGAAGACGCAAGAGAGCTGTGGCGACCCGCCAACCCTGAGGCCACCAGCATCCACAAGTTCAAGTCCATCGTCGCCTCGAAGCACGCTCCCGGTCTAGAGTCATACCACGATCTCTGGCAATGGAGCGTCGATGAGCCCGCCAAGTTCTGGGAGGAGGTGTGGAACTACACCGGCGTCAAGGCTCACAGGCCGTATGAGAAGGTCAGTTTTAATTAACCCTTGATATTTTTCTCTCTTTTCAGGCGGGGAGGGTAAAAAAAAAAAAAAAAAAAAGAAGAGAAAAGAAAAGCAAAGAAAGAGGAAAAGAAACATCTTGCGCTGATGGTAAAGCTTGCACTCTTTAGGTCTGCCAACCGGAAGCCCTCCTGTTCCCGAAACGCCCGTTCTTCGATGGATCTCTGCTTAATTTCGCGGAGAACCTCCTCTTCCCGTCCAGCAATCCCCACGAGCACGCCGTCGCCGTCATCGCTGCCACCGAATCCACCCGCGAACACATCTCATGGAAGGACCTGCGCGAAAGGGTTCGGCTGTGCATCGCCGCCATGCGCGATGCTGGCGTGGCCAAGGGAGATCGGGTTGCCGGGTTCGTCGGGAATCATCCCAACACCTTGATCGCCATGCTGGCCACGACCTCCATAGGAGCTCTCTGGAGCGGCGTCTCCACGGATACCGGGGTCCACGCCGTCCTAGAGCGCTTGCGCCAGATCGAGCCCAAGCTGCTCTTTGCGGACAATGCCTCCATATACAACGGCAAGGTCCACGACACACATGCAAAGGTCGCCGACGTTGCCGCAAGTTTGCCGTGCCTGCAGCTGGTCGTCATCTTTGACGCCGTCAGAGATCATGCCTTTGACGTCTCCTCCGTCGTATCACCCAACGGTTCCACTGTCACCTATGCCGACTTCATAGCCTCCGCCCGGACGTCAGACGCTCCCTTACGATTCGAATATCTCCCGCCCGATCACCCCATCTACATCCTCTACTCTTCCGGCACGACCGGAGCACCGAAACCCATCGTCCATGGAGCCCTGGGCACCCTTCTTCAGCACAAGAAGGAGCATGTGCTTCACTGCGACATCGGCCCTGGCGACAGATTGTTCTACTTCACCACCACAACATGGATGATGTGGCACTGGCTCGTGTCCGCGCTGGCCAGCGGATCGAGCATTGTGCTCTATGACGGATCACCTTTCCGACCGCTGGACCCGGAAAACGGAAAAGGCGACATGGCCATGGCTCGACTGATCGACGAGCTACACATCACCCACTTCGGAACCTCTGCGAAATACCTCTCCGTGCTGGAGCAGGCCGCGCTGAACCCGCGAAAGCATCCCCACCGACCCGTGACGTTCCGGACATTGCGGGCAATCTTCAGCACTGGCTCTCCGCTGGCCCCTTCGACGTTTGACTACGTCTACTCTTCCATCCACGAGGATATCCTGCTGGGTTCCATCACCGGTGGCACGGACATCATCTCGCTCTTTGGAGCGTGCTGCCCGATCCTTCCTGTCCACCGAGGAGAGATCCAGTGTCGAGGACTGGGCATGGCCGTGTCCGTCTTTGACCACGCGGCCAATGACATCAGCAAGACGGATGACGCTGGAGACCTGGTGTGCACCAAGCCGTTTCCCGCGCAACCCGTCATGTTCTGGCCTCCGGGCGCCGTCGGCGAAGCAAAGTACCGTTCGAGCTACTTCGAGACGTACGGAGATCACACCTGGCACCATGGGGATTTCGTCAAGATCAATCCCGTCACGGGAGGACTGGTCATGCTAGGCAGAAGCGACGGTGTGTTGAAGCCCGCCGGCGTGAGATTCGGAAGCGCTGAGATATACAACGTGATCCTGAAGCATTTTGCCGACGAGATCGAGGACTCTCTGTGCATCGGACGGCGAAGAAATGGAATTGAGACCGACGAGACCGTTGTCCTGTTCGTCAAGCTGAACAACACGTCCTCCGCGTCGTCCTCGGGGGTCTCTACTCCAAACGGAGTCCTCAGGGAGCCGCCGACTCTGCCTGATGGTCTGGCGGCTCGCATCCAGGCCGTGATCCGTAAGGAGCTGAGTCCCCGCCATGTGCCAGCCATCATCGACTCCTGCCCAGAGATTCCCGTGACATCCAATGGCAAGAAGATCGAGAACGCAGTGAAGCAGATCCTGTGTGGATTGAACATCAAGACGGGAGCGAGCGTTGCCAATGCTGCCTGTCTCGAGTGGTATCGGAAATGGGCCGCCGAGCATTAACTATTTTTATTTTTTTATTTTTTATTTTTATTTTACTTTTTTTCTTGTGAATTGTTTTTGAATGTCGGAATCCCTTGAAGTATTAGTAGACATTACATTTTAAATCTATATATATATATTTTTCATAGACATCATCTGTATGTACATAGTCTTTTTGATGCGAACTGTTTTTTTTTCTCGTCTGGACCTCATATATATATATATATATATACGGAGTATATATATATATAAATCGTCTCTCGTCATGTGCTGCGCTAAAAATAAAAAGTAACTTTCGCGCTTGAAGCCCGTTTTTGTTGCATCACCACAACGGCGAGCGGATTTTCTTTTCTTTCCTTTAACCGCGTCGGAAGAGAGACGAGAGAGAGAGAGCTCCACGACAGTCGGTCTCCGTGCAAGCCATCACTTCCACAATGCCTCGTTTTGCAATAAGACCGGGCTCATTACGACCTTTTATTCGCCCGCATCTAGCGCAGAGGTTCAATCCTCGATGGACTAAACGGTTCGCACAGGTCAAATCCACCGGCTCCGAGACCGCAACCAAGGTAAGCCAAAAACCTCCCCGACAAAACAAGAAGAAGAAGAAGAAGAAGATTGTCTGACGCAAAGGCCCTTTTTTCGTTCTTTATTCTCTGTAGGACCCCGTTGAGCTTGACCAGATCACCACCTTACCCAATGGCCTCCGCGTCGCCACGGAATCGCTGCCGGGGCCCTTCGCCGGCGTCGGCGTGTACATCGACGCAGGCTCACGATACGAGAACGAAAGCCTCCGCGGCGTGAGCCACATCGTCGACCGGCTGGCGTTCAAATCGACGAAGACGCGGACGGGCGACCAGATGCTCGAGGCGCTGGAGTCGCTGGGGGGAAACATCCAGTGCGCGTCGTCGCGGGAGTCGCTGATGTACCAGTCCGCGAGCTTCAACTCCGCGGTGCCGACGACGCTGGGCCTTCTGGCGGAGACGATCCGCGAGCCGCTCATCACGGACGAAGAGGTGCAGATGCAGCTTGCCGTGGCGGACTATGAGATCCGTGAGCTGTGGGCGAAGCCCGAGATGATATTGCCGGAGCTGGTGAACATGGCGGCGTACAAGGATAATACGCTGGGGAATCCGCTGCTGTGTCCGAAGGAGAGGCTGGATCAGATCGATAGGAAGACGGTGGAGAGGTATCGGGATGTGTTCTTTGGGCCGGAGAGGATGGTAGTTGCGTTTGCCGGCGTGCCGCATGCGGAGGCGGTGAGGTTGACGGAGATGTATTTTGGCGATATGAAGAGGAAGACGGCGCCGGTGCTAGAGGGAGTAGGCAGCGAGATCAGGGTTAATGATGCCGATGAGGAGGTTCCTACGATGCCGGCGTTTTCTCCTTCATCTACGACAGTGGCCGAGACGTCGTCCTCCTCCTCCTCCTCGTCTTCGAGAACATCGTCCTCTGCGTCTACGTCCAGATCTTCATCGTCGGGGATGTTCTCCAAACTCCCATTCCTCAAATCCCTCTCTACCTCCGCCTCAGCACGCGCCTCCGTCTCCCCGCTCTCTCCAGACCTTTTGAAACCCGACACTCTCAATCTCAACCAAGTATCCCACTACACCGGCGGCTTCCTCTCCCTCCCGCCCATCCCGCCTCCCGCTAACCCCGCCCTCCCCCGCCTCAGCTACATCCACATCGCCTTCGAAGCCCTCCCCATCTCCTCCCCAGACATCTACGCCCTCGCCACCCTCCAAACCCTCCTCGGCGGTGGCGGCTCCTTCTCCGCCGGCGGTCCCGGCAAAGGCATGTACTCACGCCTCTACACCAACGTTCTCAATCAACACGGCTGGGTCGAGAGCTGCATGGCCTTCAACCTCAGCTACACCGACAGCGGACTCTTCGGCATCTCCGCTTCCTGCCATCCGCAACGCCTGACACACATGATCGATGTGATCTGCGGTGAGCTGCAGGCGCTCACCCTGGAGAAGGGCTACTCGGCCCTGCAGCTCGCCGAGGTCAATCGCGCCAAGAACCAGCTGCGCTCGTCGCTGCTGATGAACCTGGAGTCGCGCATGGTCGAGCTCGAGGACCTGGGCAGACAGGTGCAGGTGCACGGACGCAAGATCGGGGCGATGGAGATGTGTAAGCAGATCGAGGCCGTGACGGTGGCGGATCTACGGCGTGTTGCGAAGGACGTGTTCTTCGGTAAGGTGAAGAACAAGGGGATGGGCACGGGACTGCCGACGGTGGTGTTGCAGGAGGGAGAGTTGGAAGGAGTCAAGTTGAATCCGATGAGGTGGAATGATATTCAGGATAGGATTAACGGGTGGTATCTAGGAAGAAGGTGATCTTATCATTTTTTTTTTTTTGCCTTTGTGATCCCCTGGTTTCCTTTTTATCTGTCTAGGCTTGTGGTATGAGTGATTGGATATTTCTGCTATGAAAGAAAGGGGATGAACATCTGGATAAGTGGAGGATAATGGATGTTTGTACAACACTCTCACCTTTCCAAGGGAAAAATTTGCTGTGGCGTTATTGTTATCTCTAGTTTGATACATGCATTGTGATAGAAATTAATATACAAGTACATACCAAGTACTCTGAACTACCTGAATTGATATCATGATATGCATCAAAACACAATAGCAAAATAGCTGCATCACTCGCGGTATTCCCGCATATGCCAATGCACAAACCAACAACCCGGGCAAGCAAACAAAAAAAAAAAAAGGCATCCCTTAAGCACCCAAACGGTCCTGCCATGCAAGAGCTTATCATTTTCTGATATCGAAGACCAAATGAAAAGAAAAGAAAAGAAACCCCAAAAACCCATATCTCATCGGTAAAGGAACACATGCCAGCCGCGCCCAATCCCACGATACCCATTCTTGCGCCAATCCTTTTTCATTTCCTTTTTTTTTTTTTTTTTCGATTGGTGAGCCTCTTCCATAAGTGCGATATCCGACGGGCTAATCTACCTCCGGTATGCCCACCCTCGCGCTCAAAAATATGGCCATATCATCCAGCTCGTATGGCGCAAACCAATGCTCCAGGTCATCATACAGCATCCACGTAACGTCCCACCCAAGCTTCTCCATCGTCTGAGCGGCCAGTTCGCCCAAGCGCGGTCGGACCTTCTCGTCGAGCGCCCCGTGCGCAAGCCAGATGGGGGTGGATAGGCAGCCAGGCGCCGTATCCCTCGGTGGAAGCGGGTCGATATCAAGGACACATTCACGCGAGAAATTCACCGCACGAGCGCCAAGATCGGAACGGCTATCACCCGACAAGTTTAGTAGGTGCGCCGGCCCGTCTTCTCCATTCCCCTCAAACGGGTCGTCCAATCGGTCACCGTTCGCATCACGAGAGTACTCATTCACCAGTTCTGCCATCTCTTTCTGAAACGGCAACCAACCACTCATACCCACGTACCCTCCCAGGCCGCCCTTCCCGCCATCATCGTAGCTCATCAGTATATGTAGTGCCTGCGCAGCGCCCTGACTCAGCCCGCCCACAACAACGTTCCCAATCCCCACCAGCGCCGCCTCCTCCTCGATGAGCCGATGTACGAACTGCGCGCTCTCCCTCAATCCTTCATGCTGTATGTCCCGTCGCTCATTTTCCGTGCCTAGATTCGTCAGGTCGAACCATTGCGCGATGGGAATGCGCTTGAACTGCGTGGACCGCCGTAGCTTGGCGGTGGGGAAAATGAATTTTGTGCTGGGAAAGCGCTGCGGGAGCGTGTCGCATGAGAGAAGCTTGGTGGTGATCAGCTCGACGCCAAAGTCGCGACCGTTGCCGCCGCGGCCGTGGAGGAGAATCACGGTGTGGGTGTGCTGCCGGCGCGGGGGGAGGATGAAGGGTTGGAGGTAGCCCCGGTTTTTGGGCGGAGGGATGGGGATGTCTGGGAAATAATCTTCGGCCATGATGTTGGATTTCCGCTTGAGGAAGTAATCCAGCACAAAGAGAGAGAGAGAGAGACTGGGTAAGGGGAGGAAAAAGGGAGAGTGGAAGAGTGTTATTTGGTCGTGCGAGTTGAGGATTCCGGGAAATGCGATAGTGGTATTGCTTTGAATTTAATGAATCCGCTGCAACCGAGCTAGGCGAAATTTTTCTGCGCCAGCCCTCTTTTTTTTTTTTTTTTTTTTTTTTTTTCCAAAAAAAAAATATTATTACTTATCTTCTTTTCCCGACTCTTTTAAAATCCAGTCAGAAATGGCCGCGTAATGAACGGCGCTGCATGCGCATTTCGGCGGTGACGGTTTCTATGCTTTGTTCCTGGATCTGGATTTTGTGTCCGCTGCGAATACGGGCCGAGCGGATGCAGCCGCTGCAGGAGGGGGTGCGCTTTTGCAAGGAATGTATGGGCAGCTAGGGGACCAAAGGCACAGCGAGCTGTATCAGCGGCAGGCCTTTCCTGGCGACGGAAATCTTGCAAAAAAAGGCAACGGGGGGTGATCGGCGCCTTTCTGTGTAGAACCCTTTTTCATGGTCGGCGGCAGGTCTGGCCGACTGCCTGGATATCAAAGAAGGTTGTTTGCCAAAGTCAAATGGACGGTCGAGACCCTGGGCGGGTGTGCAACGTGCCAAAAGAGACTTTTCCAAGTCGTGCAAGGGTGTGACAGGAGGAGATTGCGCTGCAATTGAACCGTCTCTTGATGCGCTCACTGGGCCGTGCCCACTGCGAAGATCCTCGATCGTGCAGTCTGGCACTCCCTTTGCGGCGTTGTTTGTTTCTCGCGATGCTGGAAGAAAAGTCGGATGGCGGCCAGAAAGGGAAAAGCGCAGTGCCGCCCTGGATAGAGGCCCGTTAGCTAATCATTTAGTCAGCAACCGTAAAGGCGGCGAGCAGAAAAAGTTTGGTTTCTTTTCTGAAGTTCAGCGAAAAAGCGAAGACTCGAAGCTTGCTCTCCGTCCAACGCCCAAACGCACCCTCCTTCTTCTTCTTCTTCTTCGTCTTCCCGTCGCCAGTGAGCTTGTTTTTCATTCAGCTCTTCTTGTATTACTAGCCTCTATACCTACCTAATAGTAAAACTTTCAAAATGGTCAAGCTCACCGAGGTCGAGGACGAGCACTTCAAGGAGAAGCCCGCCACAACCAAGAACGACGCCCTACTCCTGAGCGACGACGACGACGACTACACAGACACCGGTATGTCCTTCACCATTCCTCTTCTCTGTCCTCCAGTTAACTAACAACACTGCCCCCCATCCCAAAAGAGTCCGAGATCTCAACCGACTCCTACGCCACTCTTGAAGAAGAATCCCTCTATGAACGCATCGCCGCCCTCCAAGATATCATTCCCCCATCCTCCCGGCGGAAAATCTCAAGCACAGTCTCCGCCATCACCTCCTTCACAAAATCAACCTTGTCCTTTGGCGGGAAGACGCTGTGGGTGGTGAGCACAAGTGCTTTCTTGCTGGGTGTGCCTTGGGCCCTCGCCCTGGCCGAGGAGCAGCAATATGTCCAGATGGAGAGGGAGCAGGGCATGATCAAGGGCGCTAACGAGGTCTGTAACCCCCTGAAAAAGGACCGCCTTCCAATTGATATATCTAGCTTGGGACACATTGGCTGACTTGGGTAACTTTTTGCAGATGTTAACTCCCGGTGCCACGAGTGCCTTGACGCAAGGTCAGCAAGGCGCTCAGCCAGCCATCTAAACGGATGGAACCAAACTCGTCCAAATTGAACCAGAAGAATACAATTGAATCGGACGACGGAATGCAACCCCCAGTATAGGTTTTATCTCGCATGCCGTTTGAGCCTGTGGTGGCTGGTTGTCTTCCAACGATGAATTTGTTTTCTTTCATACGGTTCCTGAAATACGTGCCCATGCCAAAATACGCTATCGAGGTCGTGGTGGATCTCCTTATGACCGTGCAAAAGATACCACGTTTTTCAATCGGTTCTCCTAAGCCTAGTAGGGCATTGATGAATATGCCCACCAATTGGTTTTCTCTTCCTCCGTTCTGCCGAACTCCCGCTACGACACGACCAGCCTTATCCTCTCTCTTCTCTCACATTTCGAAAACCTGTAGTTTTATCGCCCTGGGATCTTTCTTTTAATGCTATCATTTTCCAACGGAGGATGCGGTATGTGTATATAGTCAATGGGAATTTGGTTAACTCATATCATTTGGACCGCGCTAAGACCCGAATGAAGCCATTACGGCTGATATCTAATCTTAACATATTTAAAGAGTGAAGAGAAAAATAAGGTGAGTATGGGTATCTCAAAAAGGATATCAGCCGGGGTTGAAGGCTTCGAAAAATTCTAGACCAAAGCTTCCTGCTGGGCAAATAGTCAACATGATACTGAGTGCACCCGGACTATGCGGGCTACTATCATTAGGGAGGAAAGTACGGAGAACGCCAGAACCATATCACTCCGAAGGCTTATCACCGTTGTTATTCCTGACAAGTTAATTATCCGTCAGCCCTGGTCCCTATAAATCTATGACCTTGGGGAGGGAAAAAAAAAAAGAAAAGAAAAGAAAAGCGAAAACTCACCCCTCCGTCCTGCTTCGCCCCTTTCAAGTTCAAGTTGAAATCCTTCCACAGCCGATCGATCTCCTTTTCTTGCATCTCATCCACCACCTCATTCGCGTACCGCGTCTTCTTCTTCACACTCCAATGCTCTCGCTCCAAAATTTTCGCGTTTGAAAAGACGCCTTTGCGCTCCAGATAATCAATGACCCATTCATTGAGGCGGAAGCGCCAGTGGATAAGGGTGTGTGCCATAGTTGCTTTCGCTTTGCAGAACTTTCCAACGTAGAAATGAGTACTTTCGTCAGCGATCCGGCGGCCTTCGCGGTCAATGTTGCTTCGATCTAACGGGTCAGTTCCTTCCTCTTCATCGACGACATCGTCGCTAGCGATGCTGTCCTCATCATCGTAAACCGGCTCCAGGGTTTCCAGGAGATATGGTTTCCCGGTGAAGCGGATATCAAATTTAGGTGGATGCTTTGATCTGTTGCAGGCGTCACACCAATTTTGAAGTAGCCTCGCATGCGGTTCGGGGGTGACTTCAATACCTGGTCGGGCTTCGAGCGCTCGTATGAACTTTTTGCTCCAGACAGAAGACACCAACTGCGAGCCCGCCACACCTGTCACTTCGTCATTGACCTTAATAAACGCAACTTTATACACCTCGTCTTCTCGAGAAAACGCTGGGTTCAGCTTGTTATGCACCATCCACTCGACGACGTCTCTGAAATGGTCTCTAAGTCGCTTGTACCGGTGACGGGAGAACTCGAATGGCATGTCAACCAGGTGCGCTGGGGCACCAATTTCGGCGTCGTCGTCTTCCAACACAAAATCATCTTCGTATTTATCAAGGTCTTCTGGGACGGCAGGCTCAATGTCGCTATCCTCTAGTATATCCTCGTCCGAGGAAGTAGAGACGGACAATATGGACGCTTCTTCGTCTTCCTGCGAACTTTCTGATTTCTCGGGCGGGGATACCGTTGCTGGTCTTTCACCGGCACGACGACGACGCAGAGCCTCTAGCTGCTGCTTTTGTCTAAGTTTGCTGGCCGACTGAGCGGCGTATCCCCTTGTTCTGCGTTTTGTCGTAGCTAGAGTAAATGGCATGTTAGTAAGACCAGTGCATTCTCCAAAGCCTAAACAAGGACAGAGAGGAGATACCAGTGTCCCGGAGATCCTCCATATCCTCCTCTAGGTCGCGCATCTCTTGATCTGATTGGTCACGAGACCGCACAGGAGTCTTTACTTCTTCATTGTGCCTTCTGCGCTTTGTGCGAGATGGCTTAACGATATCGTCAGAATCGGAGTCTTCTTGCCCACCACTATCGTCGCTGGATCCAACAATTGGTCTTTTCCCCGTTCGACGGCTAGGATGAGGGGCACGGACTGTGTCTTCTTCTTCTTCATCGTCGTCGTCGGACGATGGTTCTTGTTTTACTTCGCGCAATGAGAATCGACGACAGCGGAAGGCCGAACCTGGAGCCCGAATGGGATCCTCGTCTTCATCGGACGACGGCTCACTCTTTATTATGCGCAACGGAGTCGGGCTACTTGAGATCGGCTCGCGTTTGACAGCCGCTTTTGACGCGAGCGGTGAGCTAAAGGTTGGAGAATAACGAACATTAGCAAGTCGATCAGTGGCTCGGGCGGAGCTGTGTACCGCCTTAGGAGAGGAGGATGAAACAGGAGTAAAGTTCAATCTCGTCTGCCTTTTCGGGCGCATTGCAGGATGGATGAGCCGGCCAGGCACTTCAGATAAACTCTGATCGTCGCACTTTGATACAGTAGCCGCCTATAAAAGTCTATATCCGAGAGAAAACAAGACAACGGAAATATGTCAAATTTCCAATTGTTTTGCCCCTCGCAAGACGCGTCCAAAAGTGCGGCGCTGAAGTCACGATATCACGTGATATGTATTTACCAATATTGCCAGTTTGGGGTTAGGCTGCCGGTTGCGCTTCGTCCGCCAGTCGACGGGCGAGATCAACTCTCAACGAATGCGCAAGCCTTGCCTCCCGTCTGGAGCCGTGCGCCTTGTCAGACTTTAGTCTTGGGGAGGAGTATGGGGAGACCCTGGAACGTTGAAGCTGCCATCAGCGGGAAGCAAGCCACATGTTCCTCAGGGAAATCCGGGCCAATTAACTTCAAACTCAGTGGTCGAGACTTTCAGTGTGGAGGCAGCAAAAGTTAATGCAAATTGTTGGCAGCACAGGTGCCAATCATGGCTTGTTCAGCTCTCGAGCCTGCTCGTTTGCTTTCTGATTGACTTCCCTGGCTCTGGGGTCATGACGTAGCCGACGACTCAGCTCCCTGACCTGCAACGCAGGCTTTGCAGTGACGCGAGCAATCCTGCTCGTCGATGCGACTGACCTCCTCACCAACTGGCCGATCAGCAACAATGATCAGCGCCTTGGTGGTGCCACAGGGCCGTGCGAGACTGCCTGAGGAGGATGGAAGAACCCGGATTTCCTCATCCAAGTAGAAGTCCTTGGACACCGGCTACATGCTAATCATCATCATAACAAAGATGATTTCCATTTCCTGCCATCAGATATTCCTTCCTGCCAAATAGCTTTTTCTCTGCCAGAAAGTGAAGAGGGAGACGGAATGCGAACTCCATGACGTCAAGTGCTACCCATCTCCTTCCGGGGGTTCTTAAAGACATTAGTCGATCGTGCTGCCTTCTTGTCTTCCTTTCGTCCTTCTACTGAGGATATACCCCCGGCGCTACCTACAAATGCCGATCCTCTTCCACCTCGTGAACCTCTCTATCCTACTTGACTAATTATTGCTTATTTTGTATACATACGGAATTTACCCCTTCCCTAATTTGCCTGGATCGCGTCTATTCAATCCCTTGGACAGCTCTTCTTGCCACCCAAGTCCGGATGTCAATTGACATATGCTTTTAATTCTTCAAGTCTAATACTATTCCTTACGTATCGAAGTTAGTGCTGAGAGACGTTTTTCAAAATGCCGAAAACCAACGTAGTCAATAAGCCTTTAGACCCCGAACAGAGGGAAAGGGTGACACTTCCTAACATCTTAAATCACTCCAATTCCATTCTAACTGCTAGGATAGGATATTAACCGCAAATTGCAAGTCTATGGCATATATTCGGCGTTCAAAAGAGGAAAAGTGCCATCAGTAAGTAGCCAATTGAGCCTCCACTTGGGACGACATACTAACAAAGGATAACTAGAACAAACAGATTGATATTGCATTAAACAGTGTGCTACAATCTAAACCTTTTACTTCACCGTCAACCAAACTCTCCGAGGAAGGTCGCGTGGTCGTACAGGACGTTCGCAATGTTATCAATAGCGCCAAGAATCTCGTCCTAGTTAAAAATGAAGGGAACCTTTTGCAGGAGTTCATTTGGGATGCCGAGAACTTCCAGCGCCCTCAAGTGGAAACTCCAGAGAAGCCAGTAGACAGAGAGGGTGCCAAACAACACGGTCAGCAAGTCGCCGAGGGTTTGAAAACCTTGGGGACGCTTTTGGTGACCAATGGGGAATTCAGAAAGCTCCGTCAGTAATATGTAACCTCACTTTTCAATCGCAATGGACTAATACCTCTTGGCAGTTAGCGATGCCACTCTCCTCCTCCGTGATATAGCTGGTGATACGGCCCAAAAGGCCGCAAACGTCGTGAGGCCTTCCGAGGATAGGCTTGCTCAAATCGACCAACCAGCTCCTGAGGGTGTGTGGCATGAGAAGCCCGATATGTCCAAGGAGGGCATCAAAGCCCGAATGAAAACGAAGACTCAAAAGGACAAGGAGGCCCGCAAAGGAGCGGCTAAAGAAGCAGGGCCTGCTGAGCAGAACGGAACAGTCGATGGTGCTGTAACTGAAGAGGCCAAATCCCGTAGACGCGAGGCTACTGAACGCACTAAAGAATTCCTCGCTTCAAAGATGCCGAAAGAGCGTCGAGAGCAAACCGTGTGGCGAGTGAAGAAGATGATTGTGGAGATCCAGGGACACTCTGATTGTATGCTCTCGTACCGTCCATCAGGAAAAAAAAAGTCGTTGCTAACAGAGGGCTTCAATATAGACCAACATGCCATTGAAACTCTGCTGTCAGTAGCAGAAACATATACCGGCCACACCAAATCCTTATCCAAGCAGGGAGCAGGAACGTTGAAGGGTGCAAGGGAAGAGTCCGATCTCCAGAAATTGGAAACCAAGCTTAGAGTATGCTTCCCCAAAAAAAAGAAAAGAAAATTAGGTCGGCTGGATATTTTGTTTTGCTGACTGCTTAGCAGACACTCCTCGAGCGCTCTGCCAACTCCACATCTCTTGATGACGTGTTCGAGGCTGTTAATAAGATCTATAAAGATGCCGACAGTGATCCTCGACTGAGAGAGTGGTTCAAATCCGTGAATTTATTTACTCGGTAAGTCGTTAAAGTTTTGAATGGCAAGTAGAAGGCGTTGCTAATATATCACTTAGCCGCTGTCTCCAGGAGCAAGGATTCGTCTTGCAGGAAGAGTCGAACGAAGAGTGGAAGAGACTTTATGATGAGGGTCACTACCTGCTCCGAGACCGTTATCGAGACGACACCAACCGCCTTGTGGGCGAGGTCAAGTTTATCGGCGAACAATTTGATCAGGATCCTCTTAACAGAGATTTTGCTCAATCTCTGCAGCGGCTTTGGACGAATCTTGGAACTGATATGCAGGGAAGGGTTGTCTTCAAGAAACATCTGCTTAAAGACTTTGCCAATGTGGTGGTCCCAGGGATCTTTGAAAATCTTCATTACATTCCTATCCCACGCATTGAAGTGTCTGATCCGATGATAGATTTGGTAAGTAAGATGACAAGCTTTGAGGCCATCGGGATCTTTTACTGACTGACTCTTAGATTGTGGAAAATCTTGCCGTTGAAACCGATAACCTGATGCCCAATGTGCTCGAGTTTGGTAGCGATAATTACTGGCGTTGGGGACGCAAGAAAATCACCAACAAGCACGACAACAAAGTGATGATCTCCGCCACAGGAGTCCAATCTGACTTGAAGGGTGCGTCTTCCTATTTCACTTTGCATTGGCCGTAACTGATACATTTCCATAGATGTGAGTTATTACGTACGGAAGAAGAAGGGATTTCCAAGAATTTCGGATGTCGGTATCATGAACATCTACCTAGGCGGCGAAGGTTTCAGTTTTAAAATCGTTGGATCAACCTCCCAAGCAGAGGATAGGCAACATTTCATCAAACCTGAAATCGTCGATGTCACAATCAAAAATTTTGATGTGAAACTGAAGAAATCCAAACACAAGCTTCTCTTCACTATGTTTAGGCCCCTTCTGTTCAAGGTCATGCGACCAGCCATCCAGAAGGCGGTAGAAAAGCAAATTCGCGACTCATTCACGAAGGGGGATGCTTTCGCATATGAAATCTACAACGAGGCTCAACGTACCCGAGAGGCCGCTCGAAGTGATCCCGAAGACAAACGTAGCATGTACGCACACTATCTTGCAGCAACACGGAAGAAAATGGCAGAAAGAAAAGAGGAGGCACGGAAGAAGGCGGAGGCTAAACCGAAGAGCGAGACCAAAGTCAACATGGCCTTCACCCAGCACGATTCTATCTTCAAGGGAATTGAACTACCCGGAGGCATCTCCACCAAAGCCACTGAATACAGAGAGCTCGCCGAGAAGGGAGAAAGATGGGAGTCACCTGTCTTTGGAATCGGTAGTGCGTCCGAGAGCAGCAGCTTACCGACACTTGCTCCGATCACACGCAAACCGCATCAGATTGTCGTCAAGACTCGTGAGCAAGAGGCAGCAGAGCGTGCTGCTGCAGAACCTGCTACTACAGAACCTTCTGCTCCCGCGCCTCAGCCTCTAACCACCTATCCGTCACTCTCCACCGCTGCTGGTGAAGCTACGCTCAACGGCCCTCACACGATTCCTGGGACCAGAGCCCCAGTTTAAACAGTAAATACTGACAGGCAAGGAGTCGAAAAATGTCTTCCTTTCGGACGTCATTCTACCTCAGGAATGGGCTGACTCAAATTTATATACCCTCTTTTTGCAATGTGCTTTTATGTTGAAGTGTTAATTTTCGATGATACCACGTTTATTCGTATAACTAATATGAGGAGCAGAGGCACGGAGTAATGAATGATCGTGGGCTGCATGGAATATGTTGATTATGTACTGTACATTGCCTTTATATAGTCGTTCATTGAAATGGAAATTCCTCTCTATATGCTATTATTTCCTACACCCAACAGGTAACTAGTTAGTTTATTGCGCGAGCTGGCTGTTGCTGTGCTGAAGCCTTGACCTTAGCTTGAGGATGACGTCGCCCGGCTCAACAGGGGGAGCTATCACGTGACTGAAAACGGAGCTCAGGCACGGAGTAAGGTTCACGGTTTCATGAAGACGCAACGAACGCACAACACACACACGCGAACGCGAATATAGACTCAATCGCCGTCCCGCTTCTGGATTCGAACCAGGTGCAAGGAGAGGAGGCGAAGGCATCCCCCGGAAAACTTAATCTGTGCCACAGAAACGAAAAATTAAGAACGAAATGTCTGCCAAAGCTCCCGCCTCGTCCGTTCCCGCGAAAACTGTCTTCACCACCTCACGGGCCTACCTCCTCCTGTACAACACGGCATCCTTCGCCCTCTGGAGCGTCATCACTCTTCGTCTGTTTCTTCTCTTAGCTCTGCTTGTCCCCACCGGCCATGTAGCAGCCACCTACAATGCGCTCTTCCCGCTGCTGCGGGTGACGCAGTCGCTTGCGCTGCTGGAGATTGTGCATTCGCTGGTGGGCATCGTGCGGGCACCGGTGATTACGACGCTGATGCAGGTTGCGAGCAGGATTGTGGTGGTTTGGGGAGTGATGTGGATGTTTGCGGAGGAGAGGGTGGGGAGGGAAATGGGAATCCTCGGTGGGGGTAGAGGGGGGGGAGGGAAGTTGGGAGATTGGGGGTTCGTCGGGTGTTTGGGAGCTTGGGGAGTGACAGAATGTGTGAGATACGGGTTCTTTATGCTGCAGATTTCGGGCAATGGAGTGCCTGGATGGCTTAGTTGGTTGAGGTTAGTTTCTTGCTTTCCCCCCTCCTCTTTTTTCCTTCCGCGTACTTGAGTGCTTGGGTAACGATGCTGATTTGATGTTTTGGTTGATCTAGGTATAATACCTTTTTTGTGCTGTATCCGATCGGGATTTCGAGCGAGTGCGTGTTGATGTATCTTGCCTTGGAGCCGGCGATCATGGTGCATCCGTTACTGCCGTGGGTGTTTAAGGCTATTTTGTTAGTTTATGTCCCAGGTAAGGACGACCAAACATGACATTGGATCTCGTTGCGGAGCATAGGGTTTCTGATTCAAATATAGGCTCGTACATCTTGTACACGCATATGATGGCTCAAAGACGAAAGGTTATGAAAGCCGCGGCAAAAAAAGCCACCTGAGACGATGCATACATATGCGATTCTCCGGAATTCTGCATCGGACGCAGCAGTTTGTACGATAGAAAGTGATTTTTCATTTGGGTTACTGCAAAGACATTTGAGAGACATGGGTACATGGTGTGCATCGATCAAAACGGTATCGGAGCACGAGGAAGTCTGTTGGTATGGGTTGTTAGGAGTGTACGGATAAAGGTGGAGGAAATAACATGCAACCTAATGTTCTCGTGAAATGTTCGGACATTGATCATAAGTCTTTCATGATATCCCTGATTGCTTTGGCTGCAAATGTCCTCCGTTCCGAGTCGGGGAGATCAGCTCCCATATCTGAAAACAGGGATCAGTCGAATACTTGGGCGAAATGGAGGAATACTCACCTTTGATGGCTTGTACTCTGAGCATTAATCCCTCCATTTGCTCGACCTTCAGATCGTCTTCATCAAAATCTTCCCCTTCCAAGTCGGCACCGTCACCTCCGCCGTTCTCAATTGCCATCCGCAGCCCAACCATTTCCCGCTCGAGTTCGCCAATTTCTAAGTCTAGCCTGTCGTCATCCAGATCCTCCAGGAAACCAGAAGCAGAATCTAGATCATCCCCGATGCTGGAAGCCATAGCCCATTCATTGGTCTCGAGGACCTCCCGTATCCTCGGCATCCCTTCAAGCTCTATCGTATACTCGTTAGAGACGGAAGAAAAAGGGCTTCAAAAGGAGGAATTAAATGTAGAAAAACCTACCTCCAAATTCATTCCTTCTCTTCTCTCCCTCAGTCTCAGCCCCAGCAGGATCCCAGCCCACAACTTCAAAATCATATATTCCCATCCCAGTCAGCTCCTCATCCCACCATCTCACTCCATACTCCGCCATCTCTCTCAGCCCTCCGTCCTCCCCACCACCTAGAGAGGCATCTTCAAAATTCTCTCCCAATCGCTTACTCCCCTTTTTATCCTCGCTTCCAACCAAGATCACCAGTCCCGGCACGTCACCTATCCCGCTATCCCCTCTCTCCTCCTCAATCTTCCTCTTTACATCCGCCACAGCTTTGACCACAGTCTTCAACGCAGCTATACCCTCACGCACCCGCTCTCTTTCCACCGTCGCTTCCCCGCTCGGTACCGCCGAACTCACGCTGACCGGCTTTTGGAGCAAGATAAGTATCGCGCCAATGGCGGCGCGGACTTCGGCGGCTGGCGGAGCGAGGAAGGTGGCGGACCAGGTGGATGGCGTGTTATTTTCTTGTTCTGCTTGGGATGTCTGGGATTGTAATGAGGCGGGAGAAGAGACTGCTGGGATAGGAATTTCGTCTACCCATATTGGGATATCGGCTGAGTAGTATTTGGTGTTTAGGGGCAATGGTGGGTGGGTGGAGTAGCCGGCGAACGTTGCGGTTGATTGATGTCCCGGTCCTGAACGCGGTTAGATTAGCTCTTGAGAGTCTTTTTCTTTCTACTGTAATAAAAGGTGAAGGGCGTTGGGATATACCTTCGCTGGTTTCTTCGTTTGGCGGGGGATCATTTTGTACTCCTGGCGGGGGAACCGGATTCCCGGTCAAGCTGTGCAGAAAGGGTGGGATGGTGGTCTGGGAATGCGCATGTGGTGTCAGCACCAGGAGTCGCTGAGGATTTGATATTCTATTGGCATTCTTCTGAGTCTGTGCTGTAGCCCCGGAGGCCGTTAAAGACATGATGATCGAGGTGCGATGAGGGTGGAGCGGAGTGGAATACAGGAACCAAGAAACGCGGGGCGGAAGTCGAAGAACCCAACGAGAGGAAAGCGTTCAGTCTTTTATACCATATCAATGGGGTCAGACTAACTTCACTGCTGCTCCCTGACTCTTTTGATCTATTCCGTATAAGCAGTTAAAATGCAAAGTGATTGAATACAAATTGTTACTTGTCTTGGGTATCGTGCAAGGGCACCGACTACGCTACGCGGGGAGCTGAGAGCCTTGAACTGTAAATAGCCATTCACATCAAGTGCATTGGATTTTATGTTACTTGAAGCTGGGTTTGGTAGGATCCCAATAATATATATGGCCCACCTTCCGATGAAGTAACTGGAGGGCTAGTCATTAACACAGACCGCGGCAGTTGAAAAATCAATCTTCTCGTTTCGTCCCAAGCGTTAGAACAGGCAATCAATTATCTCATGAGAAAAAGAAAAAGGGTTTCAGCGTCGCCCATGTAGAATTAAACCTCCCACGCCTCATCGCCAGCCGTTATCTATCAAGGAGCCCCAAAAGTAGGCAGATAAACGCACAACCGCCACGGTGGATATGTCCGTGAAGGACAGGCAGGCATGTTTCAGCACCGTGGCCATTTCTACATGCTGTCTCCGGTATCTTCGTGAGTCTTTCACATCACATCACACCTAACCTCGTCGCTGACCACGGGCTCTGTTGACCGTCGCTCTGCCTCGAGCCAAACCAACACCTCTTCCGCGCTGACCTCTTGTTCGGAACATCGGTGCGTTTCTATATAGAAAACGGCACCCGTTAGTATCGAACATACCCATCTAGCGAAAAAAAAGCCAAAATCCCCCCAAAAAAAAGATGCGCCATGGCACACGTCAGAAGCGGAAAGGATCAGACATACCGCAACATATCTGGAACAATAAAGAATCTGACATGGCTTCCACGAATATAGACTTGGTCGAGATGCGAAACACGACCATCGCGCGCCGTGACGGTAATATCTTTCAGTTGGACGTTCATGTTATCTTCGGCTAAGCGTCGCGAAAACCAAAAACTGTTAGCGTTGTTCCCATTACTATCCAGTGTGCTCCCTCCAAGTATAAGTGCGTGGGATTGCGAATTAGGAGAGATATATCGCGGGAAGTAGAGCGGGATGTATTGCGCACCTTCTAGGAGCTTTCCTCTGTAGACCTGGCCGGATGTGATTTCGAGGGTGACGACATGGCCCTGGGAGCAGTGCACACGAGTCAGCATATGCATTATGGCTAGGATACGGCATGGTGCCACTCCGGGGCAGCATGTGTAGATCAAGGCGGGTGGCAAAGCCGACTCACCTGTGCTTCGTTGAGAAGCTTGATTGGAATGCCAATTGTGCTGGTTAGCTTGCCCATGGTGGGTGGTGATTATTCGAAGTTGGGGGGGCGGGAAACAGAAGACAGCTCAGGTAGAAAGGAAAAGGAACTTCCAAGCAGCTATTTGTGAGGCGTGTGAGTGAGTGGGTGAATGCGCAAAATGATGCTGAAGCCGACACGCAGCGAGTCTTTTCACTGAAGGTTGGAGAGTGGCGCACGGGCCAACATCAGATCCAAAAGCCACCAAGATGATGATGATGATGATGAAGACAAAACAAACTATGCGCAACAGCTCTCTGCCCGTCACTGGCATGGCTCCACTCCCACAGGGCATAGAGATGTGATTCTACTACCAATTGATCGTATTCCAACGCACTCTACCCCAATCTCCTCAAAATCTCGGCTTGTCGACCAGCTTCAACATGCGCCCGCTCAACAGCAACATCCCAGCCTTCAATCTCACCATCTCCACGCTCCTCCGCCAGCCCTCCTACCTGCTCCCAAACTACACCATCCCAACCCTCCTCGACCTCCCACACGACCTAGGCCCGCACCTCCTCCCGCCCTCCTCTACCGCAACGCACCCGCGCCCGCCCCCGACTATCCGTGCCCTCGTCCTCGACAAAGACAACACCTTCACACCCCCCAACACCCTCTCTATCCCCCCTAGCTACCTCTCCAAGCTACATGCACTGCGTACCGACCCATCCTCCCCCTTCAATCTCACCCATAACCCGCACGGCATCCTCATCGTCTCCAACACCTCCGGCAGCAACCCAGACCAACCCATCTACGCCGCCGAAGCCACCACGCTCGAATCCCACCTTCACGACCTGCGCATCCCCGTCTTCCGCTCCCCACCCCTCCAACACCACCCCGGTGGCCACAAGACACCGCTGAAGAAACCATTTTCGTTCCCCGCCATCCTGAAATATCTCATGGCGCGCAACGTCGTCGAGTCGCCTGCGGAGATAGCTGTGGTGGGAGATCGCTTGGGCACAGATGTGTTAATGGCGAGCTTGATGGGTGCGTGGAGTGTTTGGGTTCGTGATGGGGTGACGGAGGGGGCGGAGGGTGAGGGGCGGGGTAGGCAAGGGGTGGATTATCGTGGTGTGCTGGCTAAGTTAGAGGCAAGGTTGGAAGCGTATCTGAGGAGAAGAGGTGTGAAACCTTCGGTGCCGAAGGGATGGGAGGGAGCGGACTGATGTGAGCCAAGAGAGGATGGATGATTTTTTGGCCAGTGATGGCCCTTGTGACAGGTGCTTTGCTGGAGATTTTCCTTTCTTAAATATTGCGCTGACGGCAAAATAGGGTTGGCATTGTGAGGGTTTGTTCACTCCAGTTCATTGGCGTAAGAATAAGATACTCATTGATAGGTATACATAGGTCCCGCTATAAGATACAAAAAAAGAGGATCAATTCCGCTCCCAGAGAAAAAAAAAAAAACAAATAGGAAAGCAGAATGACAGAGGAAAAAATAGGGCACAAACTATGAATCAATTTCATCCCTAGTCATCAGGAAAAGAAAAAGAAGCAAGCACCTCCCACTCTCTCAAAGAAGTCTCCCCATTCGTAAACATCCAAAAGTCAATTACGTCCTTGATTCCTCTGGTAGCCCGTTTTCGCTCGCTCGCGGCTTCGGCAAGGGTTGCACCAGAGACAGACGGTGCTTTCGGGAGCAGAGAATCCACCAAAGGCCGTGGCATCGTCCGAGATATTAGGCCGCATACTCAGAGCCTCCAAGCTGGGAAAGCTGGCTGCTAGAGAGCAATGAACAAAATCACCCACTGATAGTTGGGATAGGGGAAGCTTTATGAAGGGGCAAAAAAAGTGGAGTAGAGCAATTAAGAGGTCTCTGACAAAACGTTGTCTGGACGAATGGAAAGAAATGAATAAAATAGGAATATATAAAAGAAGAGAAGGGGAAAAAAAAGGGGGGGTGGAGAGAGAAAAGAAAAAGGCAATGGAGAAGCGAATCAACCTCAAACCCCAATCCCATCCGAAGTTCCCTCGAAAATACACGCGTAAAATAGCAGGAATGGTATGATGAATAAAAAATCGATAGATCATAATAAAATGAAAAGCCATTCTGATGGATAGGAATAGAAACTAAAATAAAAAACGTAACAGAAAGAAAAAAAAAAAAGAAAAGTGAAAAGAAAAGAAAAGAAAAGAAAAAAGAACTTCACGCTTCAAATAAGAAAAACAAAAAAGGCCAGGGAAAACAAGTGGATATTTCAATTTCAAGAATCGAGCGGAATTCAAAGAATATAGCGTCTACAGGCCCAGCCGTAGGCAAGGATGTAAAGGCATGAGTAGGGGGGGTTTTTGGCGGTATGTTCTCCAGTAAGAATTTCCCCGTTCAAGTGCAAGACAGAATGCCGTAGATTCACAGTGCTTTTTCATTTTTTGAGGATTTTAAAACAGACTTGGCTGCGATGAGCGAATCGTGGTGATAAAAATGTCGCATGGTTAAAGGAAATAATGCAGATGATATGCATGTAGGTAACGGGCTAATTCACGCATTTTCAGCGACGTTCTCGTCCGGTATATTCCTAAGATATGTTCCGCGGGTCGACAGCTGTTCACGCTCCAAATTCATGTGGGAGATTTGATCAATTATATATTAAAAAGGGTGACCCAAAACCAAGAGATGCTGTTGCGATTCGATGGTTGCTCTTCTAAAAGAACCAAGTATTAAGAATCGGCACCCAGCGACATTGGATCCACTGTGTCGAAGGAAAGCATGCCATGGAAATCAACGCCATTATCTGAAGCTCCTTGATCATGGAGGCCTTGCAATGTTAAGGCGAAAGTGGTATCATCCATTGGGGGTGAGGGCATCGAGACATTTAGGTTCTGCTTGGAATACATCTCGCTCAGGAGGAGACCGTCGTCAGGCAGCGAAGATGCTGGGTCATTTGAAACGGGAAACATTTCAGCGGGAGAACTACGTTGCGTAGTGGTAAGTGGTGGTGACTGGTCTGCTATGCTAGGTTCGGCCTGACTAACGTGAGACAGTGGAGATGCTGAGTGTGCAATGACATTGCCATGGTCGACCATCGACGAAGGTGACAAGAACGGGACATTGTATGGCGCGCCCAAGTGAGTCGTCTGTGGCTGGTCGGGGGGAGCCGTGGTCGCAAAAAGAGATGGGCTTGCGAATTCTGGAGGAGAAGCCGTCGCTGCAGACATGGGGTAATTGTGGAAATCGAGATTGTAGCCAGCAGAAGTGTCAACCTGTAACGCACCTGCAACCCCATTCACCGGGATATGCGTCTGGGGTACAGGAGCAAAGATATTCGGATTGGGTTGGAATTGCGTCGACGGGTTCTGAACGTGGAAGGATGGCATGGGCGTTTGCATCGCGGAGAAATCAACTGGAACGGGCACGGAACGACTGCGCTGGCGTTTATGGCCACGCGGTGGATGTAGCCCCATACCAAAATGATTTTCCTGGTAGATCGCGGACTGGCGACGGGCCATTTGGTTTGGCTGTGAAGCTGGGCGATGGATGATGTGCGGAGACACCGGAGCCGACGCGAAACCGGTAAAGCCATAGTGGATATGACGATTCTGAAAGGATTCCAAGGATACTAGCTTCGCCAATTGAACGCTGAGGACCTTTGGGTGACCGCCTCCAAGATGGTGAACAAGAGATTTGGTGGCCTGCTGATCTTCTGTGAAGTCACCACACTGATAGAAGCCACCGGAGTTGGACGAATCCATGTAGAAATTTGGAGGACGATTTAGTTCGATGACAATTCCACCAAACTTTGGAGGGGTAGCATCACCGGTTGGACCGGGTTCCGCAGGTTCCAAGGCGATATTCTTGATATATGAAAACGGATACTCGATCTTGTATCCTGCAGAGTCATTGTTGATATAGTATGTCATACAAGACTTGTCCGGTGAATAAAAGATGACCAAGTCCATCGTGTTTTGGCCAACACGTCTCCACGTTCCAACTCTCAGGGAGCGACAGGAGAAGTGGGATATCACTGGCGACAGGAAAGAGTTGGTTAGAACTGACGGTGACCAACAGCTGTCCGCGGGATAAAACGGGAACATACCGATTTTGCTGGACGAGGTCGGTGCATTGAGCATCGGGTCACCAGAACCATAGCCCCGATTGAACAAATTACGGGATTTGGAAGGGTCCCAGTGCAAGGCCAAGTACTGGCGCATCGATTCGGGCACGGAATCACAATCTTCGCCCGTCTCAATTCCTCTTTTCGCAATCATCTTGATCTTGGCTCGTCTGTGAGAGAAAGTTTTAGGGGTTAGCCAAGTACTCCTCACAAAGATCAGATGCTAAAAACCCAATCCTTCCAACACGTACCGATTCTGGAACCAGATCTGAACCGAGCGTTCAGTCATGTTGATCTCCTCCGCGATTCTCTCGCGCACTGCGGCAGTTGGCGTGGGGTTCTTGTTGAATTCCATCTCCAAAGTCACAAGCTGGTCTTGAGTGGCACGTTGACGCTTATGGTTCTTTTGCTGCTGAGTGAGCGTGCTTTTTCGCGGAGGACGTCGTGAAGTACGTTGTTGCTGCTGCTGTTGTTGTTGTTGGACAGAGGTAGCAGGGCCTGGCGCACCGGAATTCGTCGGCGCATTGGCCATCGCGGGAGCAACGGGCGGTGCAGGGGCGCCCGAAGGAGCAGATATGCTCTGAGACTCCGGCTTCAGTGACATGCTGGTGGAGTATCTTAATCTCCTCAGTGAAGATTTAAGGTGATCGCAAGAGGATACGGGAAAGGAGGTTCGGGTAGGTGTGTGTGTGTGTGCGTGTATGTTTGTGTGGTCAGTCGATGAGGGCACTTGAGAAAAGAAAAGAAAAGAATGTATTTGGTCGCGAGCCAGTCGACAAGCAGCGATGAATCGTCAGATCGTAGAAACTCGAGGCATCAAGCTCGAGGATGGTCTCTTGTTTTGCTGAAGAGAGCGGACGGGGGTAACAATAAGGGTTTGAAACGAACGTAGGCGTCGAGAGCCGGTGGGATATGCGGAAGATGATGGTGGTCTTGCGACGCTTCAACCGCAGTTCAAAACGTAGGGACGTTTGGAAAGTGGCGTATTCCCGGATGAATCAACGCTGGGGCATCCCAGGACCAGGGTGGATGACGGTGCGAAAGGTCCAGAAGAAGAAAAGAATCAAGAAACGACAGGAGTCGCTGGACCAAGGCAGCGACAGGGAACAGTATCAAGCCGGTAAGGCGAGGTTTGGTGGTCAGTCAGTCGGGAGGGTTCTCCAAAGAACGTCGTCGTCGATTGCCACGAAGAGTGATGGACTGAGGGCCAAGAAAAAGAATGGGATGGACAGCTAGGAAAGGAAAAGCGTATCTGGTATCACGAAGGAGTGTGGAGTGGAAGCCGTGAAGGAGTGAACGGACAATCCTGATAAGAGAGATAACTCTTGTTGAAAAGGAGAGGGGGAACCAAGAAAGAAAAAAATAAAAAATAAAAAGAGGATGAAAATGAATGTGAAAGGAGAGTAAGAAGGTGATGTGGCAGAGAGGGGAAAAGGAGGGTGTGGGGGGAAAAAGAATAAAGAGTGCCTGAGACCAAAGAGAAAAAAGATTGTTGAGAAAGAGAAGAAAGAGAGCGAAGAGAGAGAGACAGAGAGAGAGAGAGAGAGAGAGAGAGAGAGAGAGAGAGAGAGACAGAGAGACAGAGAGAGCAACGCTGCAGCGAGACTGAGCGTCACGGCGAAACAGCCCAGCCAAGCCCGGATGAGGTCAAGCCAAACACCGCCCAGGGGACCGTCCTAATACCCCGCTAGGCCTGTTTCGGTATCCTTCCAGACCCTGCCGTCAGACGTGGTACATTCCTTTACACTGCAGAGTGTAAGACACACCAGGTCACTCCTCCTCCTACCCTAGCGTAATTATCCCGGGTGCATCTGCCGTACGGGTGGTGTTTTGTGACGCTGCCAGCACAGCCAGACCTTACCCAATCCAGAACTAGCGCCGTCAGGTACCCTTCCCGAACCGGCTTAGCGGATGCTCACTCCCAACGGTGCGCTTTCTGATTGGAATATCTGCAGCGCCCGATTAAGTTTAGCTTCCGCCTAAGCGAATAGTTCGCGCGTGCTGATTGGCTGCGTGCCTGGCCATTTTCGGTTGCTCAGCGGACCCGATCCGGACTAGCGGCGCCACAAGCATGCGCTTTCCAAGTTTGTTTGCGTGCGTGCATCATGATGACTAATCACACTGCCTAAACAACCACTAGAAGGGGAAGGAGAGAACTATAGGAAAAATTGGGGGAAGGAGGGGCAGCACTGGATGTCTCTCTCGCTCGCCTTCACTCTCTCTCTCTCTCTCTCTCTCCATCCTTGCTCCTCAACCTCGCCTTTCAACCTTCATGCAGACGATCAGACAATGTGGTCTCACCGACTTCATCCAGGACGACGTCACCAGACCGTTGCTCGTCCAGAAACAGCCAAGTACCATGCCGCCATGAGTGCGGAGACATGCTCCGTTTGAGGCCCCTCCCCGCCAAGAGCGATACCCAGAGAGTCTTGCCAGCTATCGCGGCCTGAGCATCGACCGTCAATGCCAAAACAGACGAGGGAATGGGCGAAGCAGTCATGGGGTTGCACCGTTGCAGCAACTCGACTCCTGCAGGCGATGGTTCACGCCCCGTTTGCCACTCCTGGCGTCCAAATCCGGTCCGCCCTGTACCCACATGGGGATGTTTGAAACTCACCCTGGCAAAGGCCATATCCCAGACCCCGTGTCCTGTACCGACAGATCTGGAAACATCGTCTCCCCGCTTGACCCGAGGAATGATCGCTGCTGGGAGCTGGGTTTGACATTTTCCTCTCTCCTTCCCACACATATGCGGCTGTGGAGTACTCCGTACAACCTCCCGAATTCTCGGATATTTAAGAAGCTTCTCCGTCCGTAGCACAAAGCTCCTATTGATCTGCCTTAAGATAATGGATGAAGAAGACAAAAACTGACACCGCATATGCAGGGGTGCGTTTGTCTATTCATAGCGCTCAGATGAGAAGCAAACACCCCATCCATTGATTCAATTCGCGCCATGGAAACAGGTACATACAAGCCCTGCGTACCATGCGATTCTTCCCCCCTCTCTTCTCTGACATGCAGCTCATACCATGCTTCACGCGCCCCATTTGGTATGATGAAAGACTTTTGGGCCTGCACCGGTTCGGTTGCATTGCGCGTGCGAAACTGGTAGAGATTTTGATCACAAGGCCACCAGATGCGAGGGGGTCCATTTCAAAAAAATGCCAATCTTCTGAGGGAACCGTTCTTCACTCAAAGCTAAACCCGGTTCTGGTGGCTCTCTAATCTAGAAATATTGAAATGAAGCTTCCAGCATCGTTCGCAGGGATAATGAGACATTTGCTCTCCCCGCGGCTAAAAGGCCAAAGATTTTCTACCCAAAACTTCCTCATATTCTTTTGCGACACCCCCGCTCTCTTCTTTGGAATTCGAGCTATATTCAATGATCCGCCGAAGTCTCGCTTCCGATAAACAGTTCCACGCATGTTGACTGCGAACGACAAGTGGCCGTTTTCTGTTGTGATGCAGGGGGGAAGGTAGCCATCCATTCCCCGCATACAATTAGGAAAATGCTACCCATGACGAGAGCGAAAGGTGCGTATATAATTGCTATCGAAAAGCTTTTTCCTTCCTCCGTCTCTCTATTTGCAGACTTGAGGGTCCGTGTCACGCGGCTACGAAAGCTTTTCTTGAAACCTTTCAAAGCTCCGTCAATCTTGGTGTTTTCGACTCGATAGTTTATTACTTGAAACAAAGATATATTGCAGCACAATCGCAGAGCAAGCCTGTCGATAGCAAGGCGTAATATTAACTACCCTTACGGAGTACTCCGTAGGTGGTTCCCTTAAAACTGGGGGGAAGGGATTCGAGGAAAATTATTCCATTCTCGCACTGGCGATGTATATCCACGGTGATATATGCACCGAAAGTAGTCGGTGATTGGCTAACTTTCGAAATTGCAGACTGGATCTCGAAGCTTCCAGCCTTCGATTAACAAAACCGTGCTGAGTCCTGGCCAAGCACCCGAATTATAACATACCTTGGCTAAACTTCCTCAAAGGCGGACACGTCTTTCCCCACGTTTCTCGCTCGGGACAATCTTGCCTATTATTACAAGGGGGTCATGAAATATAACGGAAAAGAAACTTCAGGCACAACACATAGCCCGAGTCGTCGTGTTGCCTGCAGCATTCCTGTTCGTCTCGTATATGCAGGGGATGCCGCGAAAGGCGCTGGAAGTTTTCTTGAGAGAGATCTCAAACCACCTCCGCATCGACATGCGAGAGACGTTTCTATGAAGAATCGTCCCAACTCTGAGAAAAGGGCGAGGCTTGCACACGTCTTTCACCTTGGCTAACCCGGAAATTATGCGGGAAGACGCGTTGGCTTGCCATCCGTCCAACTCCGGAGAGGGCCGCTATAGTGTACTATTATTAGAAGCAACACTTTTGGGAACCATCTCCTCTTTTCGTGTTTTTCGTGGCTCCCGCTCCGAGTTAGAGCGTATTCCTGTTGCCGATTTAGAGCACGTCCCCATGTCCATGTTTCTCTGTAGCGTAGTCTCATGACTCCAAGCGAAACCCGCCAAATGAAGGTAAATCGGCTCCACAAGGCTGAGAAACAGAATAAAAAGCAAATGTCGCACACCAAAAGGGGTGCGGAAAGGAGTGAAAGCATGAGCTGGCGAGGTGGTACAAGACAAGCCCTCGCGATGTTCCAGAAAAAATCCTACCAACCTCGAAATCGCGACGAGAGCCCGAGACTAGTGAGTTAGCCAACCCGTTTTCCTACATATGTGTTATGAGAACTGTCTCTCCACTTCCTATGTAATGCTTGGATCTCTTTAGCTGATGGTCAATGCGAAGAGGAAAAAAACAATTTCACGATATGCCGTCGCCGTGTCGATCAACGCTCATGCGCTTTAACTTCCTTTCCATGACATAGTCCCGGCGCGTTTTCCGTCTCCATGACAAGGACTGACTCAAACTGGCCGCAAAATCAAGTCAGACCAAAGTTCAAAATGCCACTCCGTCAATAGATAACTGCTCCCCCCAAACAAGTTGCCTTTTCCAAACAATCAATGAAGCACTTCCCGAGTCCTCCTTCAGCTTTTGGGCCAATTTCAGGGTTTGTTCAAGTCTGAGCATAGATTGGCGAAAGAAATATCGAGCGGCTATCGCGGATTAGCCCCGTGGCCCTTATCGTCGCACAAGAGCAGTATTCGATGGCTCAAGGAGGTAATTACACGCGGACTACTCCCTACTCCGTATATCAACTCAAATGTAGCCATCTTTAACGAACACGATTTGACCCCTATCAGCCTCTAAGAACTGATTCGCTTGCCAGCCTTAGCCACGGCCCATCAGCAGTCGGTTCCCGAAGCAGGTCCACGCGGGTACTCAAGCAGTTCTGCAAGGGCAATCACCCGCATGCAGCGTGTTAGCACGCTTGCATGCATGCATGCCTGCATCACAAATGTATCCCAACATCCGGCTGATGAAACTCCTCGCTCAATCTCATGGCGTGATCTTGCAAGTGAGTCAGTCCTCTGTCCTCTGTGCGGAGTAAGACAATGTAATTCGCCACGCATACCATCCCATCGCAGGAATTTCTAGATTTTCCACCTTTCAAAGAGAGGGACCCGAGTCAAGCGAAATTGAAACCGTTTCACCCCAGCAACCCTGGAAATAGACTATGTACCCCGGCCCGGGGCCCCTGGTCAACCACTTACCTAATAATTTTGGGGATGTTGGCTGTCTTCATCGTCATCTGACTAGTCAACTAACGAAGAGAGAAGTTGGAAATGCGAATCATCTTTGCCCTTAATAGTCGTCAAGGGGCATCGTATATCGCTTTGCGGCGAGACGTACTGTACATACGTATGTACACTGGATGGAAAAGTCCGCTGGGAAATCGGCTTCGTTTCCCCGAACAGAATAAGTAAAAAAAAAAATCTTGACCTTACCTCTGGCCGCGAGTCGAGCTGACAATGACGGCGAAATTACCCATGCTCTCTCGTCTCACACTTAAGACACTCAGCTATTAAGTACGTGGTAGCAAGGGGGCCGAGAAAGTCCGTGCTCAAGGAAAGCTTCTCCATACGGAGTACTTCATTCTCGAAGGTTGCTGCTAAATCTTGAAAGAGTGAGAAAAAGAGCCCTATTTAAATTAGGCACTCTGAAATATTTCTGAAACATACGCCATTATCAGGGATGCTTGGGTTGTGCTTAACTAAATAGACCTGGGATGGATAGCTTCCAAAAAGGCCAAAAGGCGGACAACCCACTCACCGCACCGGACACTCCGATGCCTGACCAATTCGTCTCCCATCCGGTTCAACAACATCATCGACAGTATCATCATCTCTCCCCAACCGGATGTATAACACATATTACATAAGAAAGCACAGTTGTTTCACCCTATCTACCTACTCTTCTGCCTATGGAATCATCGCATAAACAGCAGGAAATCATCGAATTGGCGACGATGCATCCAAAAAACGTAAAGGGAATCCAAGGACCAAAAAAAGAAAAAAAAAGTTAATATTTCAACCAATCAACGAAACAGGGATATCATAAAACAATACCATCTATATACAGGGGAGAGTGGAACCTTGGGGGGATGTGAAGATACATGTCGGTTTAGGGCCCTGGTGAAAGAGGGTCTAAGGCCTGCATGAATGGCGGACCCTATAACAGAAACATGTAAGACACCGGCGTCAGATTTGGAATGTCAGGTGATGCATCTTCAGGGATACCTGTTGGGGGGGGGAAGGGAAAGGACTTTTTCTCCCAAGAGTTTCCGAGCTCTCACCATGTTGACTCTTGAAGGACTGGAGAGCTGAAAGGGGTGTTTAAGTGAGGATATAGAAATTGGGGGGGTGAGGGGGGGTGAGGGGGAGAAATAGAGTGAGAGAAATAGAGTGAGAGAAATATGTGCAAATTGGGGGCACGATAAGGAGGGTGAGTAATATATACAATCTCGGTTGTATGAGAACAGAGCATGAAAGCCATCAAAGGTCATGCAACACATTCAGCGTTGACCGTAGACAAGAGAAACTTTACCGAAAAAAAAAGATACGCAAGAGTTGGGAGAACGAGGAGCTCGCCTTCAAGGGAGAGGCGCCCGAAAAGAGGATACACAGCAGCTCCACAGAGAAGTCGCTGAGATGTAGGAGATCATCTTAGATCCGGTCCCTTCCGGATCGCTCCAAACCCCTTACTAAATAATTCATTAATGTCCAACGACCGACGTGGTCCAGCCGAGCTTCCGCGGCGTTCTCCATCGCCGAGATCTATATCCTCCATCTGGTCACCGGAACGGCGAGCTCCGGAGGCCGTGGCCGCTCCCTTGCCAATGAGAACCTCCTCCTCATTATTCCGTCGATCGAGCAATTCTTGAACCTGTAATTCTCTCGCCGCTTCAATCGCAGCTTCGCGCTCCAGCTCAGCGCTAGTTTTCTTGGTTCCACGATCCCATCCTTGCTGCAGTTCCATGGCGGCGGCTTCCTCGAAGCGTTTCCGGATTTCAAGATCCTGCTCGTATTCCTGGAAGATATCAATGTCTGTCGGGAAGAGGGTGGCTCGCACCGTGCTGACGGCAACTTCAAACAGGATTACAGCGACGATAGAGAGGAGGAGCGTCGTCCACCAAAGAAGATCCCGCCCGGTGCGAATGAGGAAATTGTCGCGGACGTTGTAGATCTCGTCGATCTCGTAGCGTTCTGATAGGATGACGTTCCACAGCCACCAACCACCGATAGAAAGCACGGTGGAAATCACAGCCATCACGGAATGGTTGTGGATCTCAAGCACCTGGAGCTTCACCGATATGATAACCACGGCAGCCGAGTACGTAAGCAAACCCATGGCGAATACGCCGTTGTCATTGGTGATGGGGGCTGTACCCCACAGCCCATACATAACAAAGTAGACAATCATCGCTTCGCAGGTTCCCATAAATGCCCATCCAAGATACAACTTGATATTGAAACCCTTGCGCAGTTGGCCCTTTGTGTACAGCTCGGGAACTGCAAGCAGAGTCGAAGCAGCGAGGTCTTTTTCGAAAATTCCGAGAAAGATGACCGGTAGAGATGTGAAGAGAGTATTAAACATACTCAAAGCCCAAGGCTCATACAAGCTAGTCCCGGTATAACCATTCCAACGCTGATAAAGAGCCTGCGTCAGATAGAATAAAGTTTCCTTCCAGAATGTACCCAAGGTATATTTGCAGACGCGGACATAATTCCACCGACCGTGAACAAGTAGTAACTTGAGTAGGAATCTAAACTGAGCAATCGAGTAATCTGAGATTCGAGCGGCTTGGAGCCCTTCTTTTCCAGTTATTCCAATACCAACGTGGGCTTCCTGAATCATCGCAATATCGTTTGCACCATCCCCGATCGCTAGGGTGATAGATTTGTTTACCCGTTTTCGGATTGCTTTGACGAGGAATGCTTTTTGTTTCGGGCTTGCACGACAGCATATCACAGAGTCGGCAAGGATGGCGAGGTCGAAGAAAAGAGATTGAAGGACCGGATCTGCTTCAATAACAGAAAGCGTCTGACCGTCCACAACAACAACTGAATGAGCCACGTTGCCAAGTTGTATATCAGATGCTGTGGAGGTTATGATTTGCTCGACATTCCCAGCTTCATGATCGATGGTTATAACAGACGAATAATCCTTTACCAGGCGACAAGAATGTCCAATGTTGAGAGCGGTCTCTCTCTTGTCGCCAGTGAGCATCCATAACTTGATATTAGCCCGTCTCAATTTGTCAATAGCTTCTGGCACACCCTTTTGGAGCTTATCCTCAATGGCAGTTGCACCCAGAAGTTCAAACTGATCTTCAATTTGCTCTGCTACTTCTTCAATCCTCTCCTGGCGATTGAACAAGCTAGTTATGGCGTCATGGTACTGCGTTTTCCATTCTTTGTATTCGGCTTCAGTGATATATCGGTATCCATAAAGGAGTGTTCGCAGGCCCTCCGTCGCAAAATCGTTCAAATGTTGGAAACATCTTTCGAAAACTTGGGCTTCGTTGACAACAAGAGCCTCTTCAACTAGGTCTTCGCCATCATCGGTTTGAAATGAAAGCCGACCATCAGAATAGGCAAGAGAACCTCGACCACCGAACTGGGCAGACGGGCGCGGGCTGTAATGCTCATTTCCATCGACTCGAAGATCCATTCCGCCGTCAGTCTCACGGTCTCGTAACCACACGTCAATACTATCCCGAAGGGCGGAGCGTGGCATCCCAGACACGCTCGATCTCCGCCCGCCAACAAAGCTGGGACGCCTAATACTCAGACTGGATCGTTTGATGTCCTTCCTGGCTTGATGTTCACTGTTACGTCTCATCACCTCCCTAGCTTCCATACTCTTCCTCACACTCGCTCGCCTCTCGATCTCAGTGACCTTTTCTTCCGCCAAACCAGAGCGTTTGAGTCGCTTCATTAGAATTGAATCTGCACCTTTACAGAAGATACAAATTCGTTGATCCGGTAGACGTATCACAATCGACATTCGTTTCCGGCTGCTTGAAAATTCGATGACATCCAAAACTTCGTAAACTTCATCAACATAATCCTCATCGGAACCAACAGACTGTTTCCGTATGGTTATACTATTTGGCTGTCTTTCTACAACCACATACCCAAGCTCCTTAGCAGCAAGGACCAATGCAACTTCGTCTGGCGAGGCGGCCTGAAACGAGATGTCTCCATCTTCAGTCTCCTCCGGAAGACAAGTGTGGCACAGGGCCATGGCCAGAATGAATAGTTTTGTTTTTTTCGCGAACAATGTGTGGGGTTTCTGCTCCATATAGCGCATCATTTCAGTTGTTCGTCCACCGTGGTATTGCCTATTCCGCCTATTTGACTTCCATCGTGAAGGTGAGGTGCCGGCCCGGTCTTTACTGTTTGAGACATTGGAAG